CTCAAAGATTTTTCTTTCTTTGGATTTGGAATCCACAGCCAGCCTCGCTAGGGAGACTCAAGACGAGCCAGTGCTATTTAGGTTTGGCAAAATTTAGAGGAAAAGGTGTCCTGCTGTAGAAGTATGACTCAAATTTTAGTTGTCAAAACATTAAAAGATGTTTTTAATTCTGTGTAAAGGCTACATATTTTTTACAATTGGAGAATGTACAAATCATGTTAGGCCTACAATAATAAATGAAAAGTAAAATGTGGATTGCCCCCTCCGAGTTGGGAGTGAATAGCGAGTAAGTTCAAATATCTCAGGGTCTTGTTCACGAGTGAGGGTGGAACAGAGTGTGAGATGGATCAGCGGTTTGGTGCAATGTCGCAGTGATGCGGGCACTGTGCCAGACCGTCGTGGTGAAGAAGGAGCTGAGCCAGAAGGCAAAGCTTTCGATTTACTGGTCCATCTGCGTCCCAACCCTCACCTATGGTCATGAACTCTGGGTAGTGACCGAAAGAATGAGGTCACTTTCTATATATCTATAGATAGGGTAAGGAGCTCGGAGTAAAGCCACTGCTCCTTCGCGGATCAGTTAGGGTGATTCGAGCATCTGATCAGGATCCTCCTGGGCGCCTCCTGTTAGAGGTGTTTCGGGCACATCTCACTGATAGGAGGCCCCGGGGCAGACCCAGAACACACTGGAGGTATAATATATCTCATCTGGCCTAGTAAAGCATTGGGGGTCCCCCAGGAGGAGCTGGAATGTGTTGCTGGGGACGTCTGGGGTGCTCTGCTTGGCCTGCTGCCCCTGTGACCTGGCCCCAGATACGCGGATGAAGATGGATAGATGGATGGATGGATGGATGGATGGATGGATTTAATGTTAAAAAAAAGAAGAGACGCATGTTGCCTACCCTGGTCCTAGGAGAAAAAGTTAGGTTTGGGCCAACATTGCCCGCAAATTCTTTTTCACCTTGCCTCTCAGGGCTTTCGTAACATTTAGTGAAAAATAATAAGAAAGATTACAAATTTGTTTATCTGAGCTTTCGCTTCCTCTCCCATTAATCATCTCACAACTCCACAGATTTATCTCAGGACTCTTCTGAGCTGCACAAAGGTTTTTTTTCTGGCTCCATTTACTGATGAAGACACTGACAGGCAGAAACATTCAAACCATCCCTTCAGACAGCTGTAGGTGATGTCACAGATGCTCCATCTTTGGTTTTCTTACAGCCTAAAAAAAAAGAGAGCCATCTGTGTGAAACTGAAATACAAAGCAAAGGTTAGCTGGCTAACCCACTAATCCGTCTCCAGGGTTCTGAAAATCAAACAGCGGAGGGGTCAGCAGAATAATAGGAAACCTGAACAAATTTGTTTTCATGTAGCAGAGTGAAAATGCCAGAAGACAGAGTGTGAGGAGCGATGTGATGCTGTAACAGGGCTTTCATGTGGAACAGTGCTGTCTGCTGTTACATAAACAGCTTTACAAAAAAAGTGAGCAGTCCTCCACATTCTTTCTATAAAAAGACTCATCATTTCACCCCGCTCATAATCTGGCTTTATTCTCTCCGTTCCAGCAGTTTTAAGAAAAAAAAAGGTGATTAAATCCAGACAGACTGAGAAAACGTGAGGGCTCTTCCTCCAGCGTGGAGACCAGGAGCAATGTGTGGATTATGCATGCACAAGAGGGTGAGACTGACTGACAAGTGAGTCCTCCTGGTCCTCAGTGAGGTAATACAGGCCAGGGACGTACTCAAAGGTAGACCCAGGATGTAGAGGGATTTCATATCCCAGGGAGTATCTCAGGAGGAGCTGGAGGATGTGGTTAGGGAGAGGGAGGTCTGGGTTACTCCTGATAAGCCTGCCACTATCGAGAGCTGGCCCCAAAGTAAAGGGTGGGAAAATTAACGCTCAGATGGATAACACAATGCGGGTTACATGTTCTCTGCTCAGGACGCCCATATACCACTATATTGTTAAATATCAAAAAGCTTGCTGCTTTATTAACGCTCTGGATATCGTATAAAGCACCTTTAAATACCTGTATAATCTTATATTTTGTTAAAAGATACTTAAAAGTATAATAACATTCAAATTGTATTTTGTCTGGCATTTCTCTCTGAAATAAAAAACATTTCACTCACAGTTTTAATTGCTGAGATCTGAAATGAAATTTGAGGCAAACTGAGTCAAGGAACCCTCTTTTGTAAAAATCTTCATTGTACATTTAAACGTTTTATATTCGCTGTGATGAAGCATCATCTGAGTTCAGAAACTCAAAGTAGTGGGAGACAGAAGACACGACAATGTGGTCATTTCCAGGATCGTAAAACATTTTATTTATTACACAATAAGGAAATGTACACATCAAATAATGCACAGTGCATTCTGGGAACATTCAAAATAATAAAGCAGCTGTTGACACAACAAGCACAAATAAGAGAGAAGGTGAGACGGAGAGAGCTTCCATCATGTACAATGTGTAACGCAACAGGAACAAAAATTACATGATTAACAGGACTGGAGTTTTAGAGGTGAACACATCTTAACATCCACTTCATTCTAGTGAACGATTTCTGTTTGTCTTGTCATGAATGCGAACAAGACATTTTTCCTCCTTCGGTCCAGCCAGTAAAGTCATGCACTTTCAGGCACACATACAGCGAGCTCCGCAACTGAGTACACCTTAAGATATTTACAACGTAAACTAATGACTGCAGAAGTGTGCAATGTAATTTCTTTGATGCAAACATTAAAGGGTACGTTCACTTTTTTTTGACCTGGATCCTATTTTCCTATGTTTCTGTGTTTAAGTGACAAATGGAAATGACAGTTTTTAACAGTTTTTTTTTTGTCCAGTATTGAACGAGATCCCTGCAGCCGGCAGCAGTGTAACTACTCTGGGCATGTTTGCACCGTCAATGTTCCTCCAATTAAAGTGTTTTTGTCACTGACAGGCTCAGATTGTTATTCTAAGTGTCTGACAACATTATGGAAATGATCCCTACAATGATAGAGCTTTTTGTTTAAGGCTAAGATCCTTTTTGTTCACCAGAAACATCCCAGAAATCACCATCACCAAACCCACCAGACTCCATTTCAGTAAACAGTCATTTTAGTGTGTATAGAGGCAACATGTTTTCACATCTAACTGGGTGAATTAAGGGTTAATTTCAACCAAACCATAGTTGGAGATTGTTGGAACAGTGGAAAGATGAACCAAGATGGTTTCTTTGAGTTTTATTTTGTTTTAGTTGACTGTGAATCAACTGTGTTTTATGATAAAATTCTTATTATTTAAATGTAGTCTGGTGGGTGTGGTGATGGTGATTTTGGGGCTGTTTATGGTTAAATAATTAAAAACAAGGATCTTACTCTTTAACAAAAAGGTCTATCTCTGAATAGGGCTGGGTTGTAATTTCTCACAATTCCCCTAAACCTGAATCAGGTTAAATTCTCGCCATTTAATGTGGTTTTTTTTTTTAATGAAACTGGCAGTTCTTGCGCATAAACGGCAGGAGTTTTAATGGACTGAACAATGAGGGAAAGAGGGGAGGACTGCGACTGAGTGAGAGAGAAGTGATGTAACAGGAACAAGGGAGCAAACAGAGGAACCAGGGGAAAGACAGACCGCGCCTGAGAGAGGGATGGAAAACGAGACATAGAGAGGAGGGGGGCTGTGAGGTGACTTGGTTGGCAGTGTTTGCTTCGGTCTCCCCAGCAGTGGGAGAAATGTGTTTAACATGCAGCAAACAGAGGTGATGAAGGGAAACACACCAGCCCTTTCCTTGTAATATTCTAATTCTTAACCGGAGAAAAAAAAAAAGCATCACAGAGCGTTGTTCCTGTGGGCTACAGCAACACTAAACCCCTGAGCTTGCCTGAGAAGGACTAAATGCACAAAGCTGCTATTCTTAAATATCCCATGGAGAGAGACTCTCACTGCAGCCTGTTCCATTTTGTTCTGAAAATGTCTGCGTGCAGCCTCATTCTGTGGACGATAAACCAGGTGCAGACTTCCATCTGTGTCACCGCTGATAAGGAAATACAGCGAGTGCTGGATGGAGCAGTGAGTGACAACAACCCCGCCCACATTTAAGAGGACTATCTGAACGTTACTGTTGGTTACAAAGGTACTAGACCATAAGTATTTTGGTGGAAACAGGGCTTTAGAATTACTATCTGAGCATGTCAGTGACAAAAACAAAGAGTTTTCATGGACATAAACTGACGGTGCACAATTGCCCCTTAATGTTACATTGCAGCCTGTTTCCCTTGCTCCATAGTGAATTTATTTCAAATATTGTTGTGCCCATTTGTTACTTAAACACAAAAACATGGGGAAATAGGTTCAAGGTTGAAAAACACTCAACTTACCCTTTAAGTGACCTTGAAAATAAAATGTGGATTGAGGGTTCACTGTTGATCTTAGTCAATCAACAGTCTCATAAAGTGCAGAAAGGTCTGTTAAACTGCTGACATGTCGTACTTCTGTTCTACAATATGACACAGCGAGTCAGTGTGACGCTGTTCCACTCAAACACGTCAAACACTGTGTTTTCTCCCAGCTTTGCAGCAGCATATGACATGTGTTTGCTGTGTCTGTTGGGAGTATTGAGGTGAAAAATAATATATCCATGAAGAAAAGCCAGTGAATCAGTGAGCCATCAGTGCAGCACAAAGCACACATTACATAACTACACAGATTTTTAAACCTTTGCTGTCAAGTTCTCTGAGAATTAAAAAAAAGGACCTTCAGTGCACCACAGTTTCAACCTGAAGTCTATTCGCCCAATTAACACAAAACATTTTCAATCTGACATCTTGTGGTTTATAACTCTGCAGATGTTTTTACTTTCATTTGTGAAAGTTTGGAGATATTTGTCTTTGAAATTTCTGCCTCCTCACCAACACAATAAAGCCAGACTAAATTTAATTTGTGGTACAACAAAAGATGACATTCTAAAATAAAACAAAAACATCCCACAATGTCACAATGACACTGCTACTTTGGGTAATCCACAGACACACTGTCAACAAGTTTTACTAGTGGAAATACTGAAGAGAGTCCCAAGTATCTCCAAACGGATATTGACAATAAAATCTTTTTTTAAAGGCAAAAAATGTCCAAATCCAGTTTCTGAAATGTGAATATATTCATACTTTTCTATTACAGTTAATTGAATAACTGTGTTATGGACAGTTGATTGGACAAAAGACGATATTTGAGAATATTAATGAGAAAAATCACTCCTTGCGACTAAATGACAAAATAATTAGTATATTAATCATCAATAATGAAACCAATCATTTAAACCCGACATTCATCTCTGCTGTACTGGTGTGGAGGCAGAAATCTCCAAACCTGGACAAATAAAAACTATCTGCATCGATAGATACCACCACAGGGAAGTCATTTGGGTGAACTATCCCTTTAAAAAGATGTCTTTACTCCGTTTTTAGCACTAAATACAAACCAGATATTGGACATGTTAACTTGTCACAGCAGGAAAAGCACAGGTGTGTGTAATAACATTAATGATGGCTGAGTTCCATTTAGCTGCATCAGTGTCACACCAGCCCCTTTCACACTGCCTCTTCAAGGAGGGAATGTCACACCGTAATGCTGATTTGCCGTTCTGTATAAAAGGTACAACCACAGAATTGGGGGTGTGTGTGTATGTGTATGTATGTGTGTATGTGTGTGTGTGTGTGTGTGTGTCAGAGTTGTGTTGCCTTTAAGCCGGCATCGGAAGTATTAACAGCACTGAAACAATGTCTGATGTCAGCTAGCAGGGCAAGATCATGGGCAGCAGAGGTGTGACGTTTTGATGATGTGTTCAACCCACTGTGGGAGATTTAAAAAGTAGCGGTAGCAGTTAGCAGCTAACTCAATTAAGACTAGCAGCATCCAAAAAATTCCAACAATGAGGTCCAGGAGCTCCTTACCCTCCGAGCAGAAGACAAGATAAGCCGCCATATAACAGACGGTAGATAATTGTTACTGCCATGTTGTGTCACTGTAATCGTGTATAAAACGCTGCTGACGTCTATATGTCACACTAGAGGCCAGCGTTGTTGTTACATGTCGCACCTCTTTAGATTCCATGATGCCAGCATGCTCTCTTAAAATCACACCCTAGAGCGACATGATGCTGCCATTATTTGGTTCTGTGTAAAACTGTGAAGGAGGCATGAAGACGGGACTCGTAGCGGCTCCATAGTGCCATCTCTGTGTAAAAAGGGCAACTGTCACGGCTTACTGGGACACTTCAATAGAACAGAGGCATCATTAATGTTATTAGTAACACCTGTGATTTTCCTGCAACGACAAGTCAAAATGTCAGCTGTTATATTTCAGGTATTTTGTTTGACGGCTGTTTTGGCGTCACTGACTCAGGTGCAACTTATCTCTACGTTTCCAACTGAAGAGAGCACTACTCTTTGATAGCAGTCTTTATGCTAAGCTAAGATAAGCTAAGCTAAGCAGCTGAATTCTCATCAAACTCTCCAACAGAAAGCAGATATTTCCCAAAAATGTCAAACTGCTCCTTTAAATGAAAACAATGGCTGCATTGTGAGTTGTGTATAAACTGTAGTGAGGCAGCTCTCTGTGGGTGGAAGCCTTGGAGCATGCTGCACTTTAGTCAGTGATGTTCAAGCAGCAGTCGCTGTCGTTGTTACGGAGTCAGATCTGCAGCATGTTTCAAAGTTTCAGCCCACAGACATCATCAGAGCAGCGGCAGCAGTTTTATAAGCCGTGTGATTCAGTGATCATTCAACCTTTGCAAATGTCACATAAAGACAGACATGGTGGTTGCTGCTGCCGCTGTTATTAAGAGACATTTACATAAATTACCAGAAACGAGCTCTAAACGAGGTTCACCTCAGGAAAATAAAAAGCTGCGGTGTCACTAGAAGTCAGTGTTTGAGGAGTGAATAAAGTCTGTTTGGCACCGACGCTCGGAGGTGCAGGGACACGGGTGAAGGAAGTCGAGTAGGTGTGGAGACTAAAGCTCAGACAGGCTGAACTAAACATCAACAGCAAGCCGTTATAAAACACTAAGCTCTTATGACAGGCTGCAGGTTATGTACAGTTTCTCCTCAGGCTCCTGCAAATATCTTGTAGACTTGATTTACAAAAGCATTTATACACGGAGAAGGTGTGCAGACTTGTGCTGAATAAAGTGAAGTAAAGTGACTAAATGCCCTGTAGCTCAGGTAAAATGTGATGGTTCAGGTTTGCAAAATAAAAGTACACCAACAGTTTTTATGCCTTAAAGATTTTTAGAGATTCAGTCAGTGCACAAACAGCTGTGGCTGTTGTGTTTTCCTCTCAAGTGTTTACTAAACTGACCATGAAAGAACTGAAAGTACATTTATCCCTTTAAAATGACGACCAAGAAACGCATCAGGGTTAAAACACGAGGTCAAAAAATATGGTGAAAGCCCAGTTTTAGCTCTTACAGCTCCACTGTGTTCACATAAAATTAATGACACTCATGTTACGTGGTCACCCACCACCACAACCACCCCAATTACTGGCCGTCATTACCAGTGTTTCCAAATCTGAAAATATTCAAGACACAAAGAGAAATCTGTTTCTGGACAAGCAGTCGAGTCTTTGCATCGTCTTCATTTCGGCTTCATGCATAACGAGCAGTTTCTACTCTATAGATGTGTGTAACGAGCGATGTGTGTGTCGTCTCCGGGACATTATTGCATCGCCGTGCGGCCATTTCAGGATAAAGCAGCGGGTTTCAGAGGGAATCACCTGTCAGCAGGCAGACTCATGTCATCAGACAGAAGCTGCTCTCCTGGAGGAAGGAAGAGGAGGAAGAACTCATGGACAAAAATCCACATGTTGTAAGGTGGTTGATACAAGACATGTAAAACACCTGCTATTACATCATTTCACCTCTTCAGGTGAAACGTAAGGTTTCTGTTATCACAAGACAAATTGCTGATGCTGTAGTGTTGGTGAAAGAAACTGTGACGGACAACAATGTGAGGTCACATATATTTTTAGACGTGTGACAATTTTGGACCAAAAAAAAAAAAAAAAACGGACTCAGTGTTCAGAGGCCTTAAGACGCTGCAGCTCTAAGGGCCTGTACACATGCAGCATTATTTTGCACCCTCAAATTCATTGTTTCCAATGTAGACATGTGAAATGTGCGCTCAAAAGCCCGAGTGACAGTGTCACAGCACACCTGTTTCTCAGGGCTCAACAGCTGCGCCGTGAATAAACAAGTTCAAAGTTCAACTTTTGGAATGCAGTCAGTCTATAAGTCTATGATAAGCCAGAGCTTTATTTGCAGACAATATTAAAGGGTTAATACACACTAAACAACAGCTGGAAGAAGATCAGCTCCTAACTCGGGATGTCTGGTAAGTAGGCCATGACACTGAGGTGGTTATGGTTGCTCAGCAACTCCAGATGCAAGTTGATCACAAGAGTAGCACCCATCACTTGACTTCACATTTTCCAGGTGGTTAAATGTGACCTGGTTTTAAATGAGTGTCACAGAACACTCCAAGATTTCACCATGTTTGTCTGACATATGTCATGTTTTGTCTGGGACAGCCCAAAATATCAGAGAGGGGCTTTGACCACTGCTGTGTGTGCGTGTGTGTTGTCATGGACGCTGTGTGTGTTGGTTACCTGTGCAGGGAGGAGTCTGGTTGTCATAGTGAGAGTTGTTGCTCTGCAGAGCCTCGTCCTCAGTATCACTGTCACTGCTTGTTGCTGCCACCAGGACAGACGGCGACTGATCTACGGATGGGACAAGAAGACGAGACGGGATGAGGCCATCAGACCTTTGCATTTTATTTAAACGTGTTTTAGCAATTTAAGTTTAAGCACAAAACAGAATAACAGATTTAGAACCAAAAAAGCTTGGCAATAGTTTGGCACTCAACTATCCTCAGTGGACTCATGTCCTGCACAACACAGATTTACAGTTTCCTCTCAGATTCTCTTTTCCCCAAAACAAATGCGTACTTTAAATTTGAACACACATAAGACTGCATAAAATCAAGATAATATAAGATATGAAATGTGTCAGTAGAGGTCAAGAAGCCACAGGTTTATACAACAGATTGCAAGATGAGCAACTTAAAGCAAAAGTTTGACATTTTGGGAGAAACAATTATTTGCTTTCATGCACAGAGCTAGATGAGAAAATCAATATGGCTCTAATCTCTGTCCATTTGATATAAGGTGTTAGCCAGCAGCCAGTTGGCTTAGCTTGTGCTTGACTACTTCTTGGCTCTGGGCAACGAACGGACACTTCAGGAAAGAACAGGTCCCAGCCAAGAAAAAGTCAAGTACATAACTGGGATCATAAAACAGCAAATTAAGTGTTTGTAAATATTAAACAAACAAGATATAACGTGTTAGTTAGGGAGCTTCAGAGGTACTGGTAGGTTGACTTCATTTTTGTTGGACAGAGCCAGGCTAGCTGTTTCCCCTTGTTTCCAGTCTTTGTGCTAAGCTAACTGATCATTCCTGCTGCACATGCTAAACAAACACAAACACATGAACACGGGTAGACATACCCTCATTTGACTGTGGCTGTGCAGAGGGTCCCTCCAGTAGGGAATGATGGGAGTTTCCTGAGTTTTCAGATTCACACTCCAACATGGCCGCCCTGTAGACAGAACAAAATGGAAGTCTTTATGAGAGGCAGAGAAGACAAATAGAGACAAGATAAGTTCTCTGTTGTCGTTTGAGTAACAAACTGTGCGTGCTGAGGCTTTGAGACACACCCCAGGGTCCTACTGCCGCAGTTTTTGCTGGCAGTCATGTAGCTTGGTCCTCCCAAGGAGAAGATGTCGTCCCTGGGCCCTGAGGGCCCATACAGCTGCTGCTCCGACGAGTACTGCTGCTTGGAGGTGGAGGGCTGCTCTGACGAGGAGCTGCCGAGAGACACAAGGGGGCCCTGGGTGCCGTCAGCCTTCAGTACTCCTGGAGCAGAGACAGGAGCAGAGTTACATTGCTGAGAAACAATGGACTAGTTTTGTGTTGTTTTTCAGTGCAAGCGGGTGTTGAGACCTACCAGCCTAAAGATGCTGTATTTAACTCTGGAGAAAGATAGTTGATTGTTGAGTCTCATTCCCAGGTCTTTAAATACAGACACTTTGGGTGTTGGTCTGAACCACCAACCCAAAGCATTAGTATTTGACAACCTGAGACCCAACAATCGACCATCTTTCTTCAGAGTTACAAACAGCACTTTTAATTGATTTGTCTCATACACAGTTAGAAAACTAGAAGCAGAAACATCATCATGACTTACAATGAACATTGCTGCAGACTTTCTGGACAAGTAAACTGTTTGCGAACAAGCTCACTACATATGCAGAATTTGATTAACTAACTCCTGACCTTCTGCACCTCCCAGCACCTCTTTAAGATGCAGGCTGAGCTCTGTGGCCACATCGGCTCCTCTTAAGTCCTTCTCCATCTCCTCTGGACTCCTCCTCTTCACCACCAGAGAGCTGCTGCTGCTGCTGCTGTCCAGGACAGGAGACAGAGATTTCCTGGCTGCACACAGAGCAAACATAGATAAAATTATCTCAGATCTGTGGACCCTGCAGAATCACATCACAATCATCACAAAACTAGAATTGCTGCTTTGTGGTTGTATGTCTCCACGAACCAGTCAAGTTTATCTTACATATTATATCCACGTCTGTGAAAACATGGATGCTTCACACACATCTTCCTCCCAACAGCACAGCAGATCTATACAATCAGCACACTTTCAAGATTAGAGTGACCAACTCAGTATCTGACCAAATGTCTCCCCTTCTGTTCCTGAGATATGATATGTTAAACATAATTGACCTTTCGCTAAGCCCCGCCTCTTTGTGATGGTGCACCAAGCTGTCGCAGTAAGCATGGAGCCCACACTGTAACTAACTGCACTCCCTGAAGAAATATGATCATATTTTTGGAAAAATTAAAGAGTGATTCCAGAGAGAAGCAGAAGGATATATCCAGGATGTCAAACTGACTCAGCAGCAACAACAGGTTAAAAAGACAAAGATAGTTAGAAGCTAAAGCCAAACTATAGGCTACAGATCACAGTGTAAAAGTGAACCACCACATCACTGCTGATCGCCACAGAACACAACGAACATAACGGAAAACTTTGCTGATACTGAACCAGTTATGTGGCATCACCAGACGGAAGCGGATCTGCGGGGGAAGTCAAACAATGTTCATCTGTTCACACTGTGATGACACAGCTGGTTGACGTTTTTCCAAACAACTTTTTATGTCGGGGCTTCAGGACACTTGGATCACTATGGACGAGCAGTATGGAGATATTTTGTGGTTTCCATTATGTGTTTTTGGACGTTTGAATCTGGGGCACTGTAAGCCTCCATTAGGTGGAGTTGTGTTGCTACCCCCTCTCCCCTGGGATCTCCTCAAGTAATATGAGGACCCTAAAACTTCACCTGAGCCTCCCTTGGCATATGGGTGAGTAGATAATGGCTGAATTTTCATTTTTGGGTGCACTATCCCTTTAAACTATGACTAAGGAGAAATGTGGACTCTGTGGCTGCACCAGGTGGGAACACCTGCTTTAAACTAGCCTCCAGAGCCACCTGGGACTTATTTTTACACTGTGAGAAATTAGTCTGAACTGAGAGCTGACTTCTGTTATAAACTCCTGTAATATGCAAAATGTGTCAAAATTGACAGGAGCAGCAAATACTGACCTTCAATTTTCGCTTTGACAGAAAACAAACCATCATTATTTGAAACTGAAGATCGGCCAGTTACCTTATTTCAGTTGCAACAGTGAGGCAGGTTTCACAGAGCTTTTGTGTTAAGTTTGATTTCAGTGACTCACACAGTCTGACAAAAACCAAAGTTATTTATACATATTTTTGATTTCCAAATCAGCAGTGTATCATTCCTCACCAGGGCGGCAGGGCCTGGACCGAGCTGTGGCTGCTCTCCCCAGCAGGTCCAGCTCACCGGGCTTACGACAAGCTGTCAATTCTGAGTCAGCGTGGTGAGAGGGCACCTCCTCCACACTGAAGCCCCCTGAGGGCCCAGGCCTGGGCTCTCCAGTCCCCCGAGCCTCCAGCACTTGACTCTTGACATCAGACATCTTGCTGCGAACCTCAGCCATCTGAGCCTTGAGGCGGATCAGGACCCCCGAGTCTGGAGCCGATCGACGCACCACCTGAGGCCGCCGCTCTCGGTCTTTCCTGGAGTGAGGATGAGCTGGAAGAAGAGCAGGAGGCGGAGGAGTGGAATTGAGAAGTGAATAAAATAAATCCTTTAAAAAAAAAAGCTGACACTTTATATTCAAACAATCTGTCTCTGTGGTCGCTTCAGTTTCAGAGAGGGTGATTTCATTTCATCTTAGCCACATCTAGACCGGGTTTAAAACACTCGCCACACTGGAAAGTAGCCATCACTAATATCAGAGATAGTTTTAATCACAGAAGAAAAATGAAATGAGAAATGTATTAATCTTTTATCAAATGTAATGTTACAGCGTCCCTTCAAAAGATGAACCTCTGTCAGCTGTGGCTGCTGTAGAGCTGTGACCATCCAGAGGGATTCTGCTGTGGGTCACAGAATTGATTCTCATTTAAGCTGGATTGATTTGCTGTGATTTGTGAGAGTGCACAGTGTGTTTACAGACCTTGGCTGTGCAGCAGAGACACAGGAGGCCGAGGCTGGAGGCCCCACAGAGACTCCACGCTGCTGCGCTCTTTCAGGTCCAGCAGCTGGATCAGGATGACTGGGTCGATCTCCAGGAGGCTGCTGCTGCCTGGACCAACAGCACCAGCAGCACCAACTCCGCTACCACTGGCACTGCGACCGGCAGCAGCACTGCGGTGTAAGGAACGCACACTGGAACTGGATCCACCTGCAGAAGACAGAGTTTACATGGTTCAGATATTTTCTTCAGGCTTATAGCTTGTAATAATCTAAAGCAAAAGGAGTAATGTCTTTCATATAAAAAGGCAGTGGCGGTGAAGACGGTGTTGCACGAGATATAGGGCTGCACAATTTATCGAATATTGAACCTGATCATGATTTTGGCCTCCCACAATTAAATGGACAGATTGACAACGATATTAACGGTTAAAAAATGTGCTCCTCTCATAGAAAACTCTGCTGTGTATCAGATGAAGAGCTTCCTACAGATATGGCAGCTGTAGAGGCTGCTGTAGAAGAGTAACATATAACAGCAACAGACGTGCAAAATAAAAATCAAATGTCTGGAGCAGAAGGCGAAAACCTCCCTCAAAACGGATCATCATTAGTTGAAGTATTTCAGACTTCTTGTTTTGGATCAGAAAATCATAAGCACAGATAAACTTATGAAAGAAAAGGGGTGGGCTCACAATAGGGTGTTATGTTTGAGCCGGCCATCTCAAGGATGCCGCACAGTGTCGGAGATGCACTGATTTGTGAAACTGAAATGAAATTGCTTCATTCAGTTTTTAGCAATTTTACTCATCTGGTCCATTTGTTTCGGAGAAGGAGAGATTCTGCTCCCGATAAAAAACTCCTGAACAATATACTGAAGGGACTGTAGTCATGAGAAGTTTTAGCTGGCTGCAATCTGCAAACCTCACTGCTAGGTGCCACTTAAGCCTAGTTCACATTACATGATTTTCATCACAATTTTGACGTCGCAGAGGATCTTGAGAGCCACCTTGGGTCGGAGGTGAGTTGGGAGATAGTCTGCCACAACGAGTCCTCATGTGTGAACAAGCCTACGAGCAAGTCGCCCCCTCGTCTGTGATTGGGACTGGATATCTGGCATGCTAGAAAACTGTGACACGACTGACAAAGAGCATCAGCCAATGAGAGGTGGGATACGTCCCACATCAGCATGCAGGAGGACGGAAGAAATGTGATGAGGACAAGCCGCAGGGTTGCCAGGTCTGCACATTAGCTGTGACTTTGGGCTTGTTTTTTTTAAGGTCGCTTACAGTCCTGGGCTGCGTTTTTTTGGGCTGGTTTCTAAAGTGGAGTTGCTTACTTGGGCTTGCTCTCTATACATCACCTTCCTCTATATATTCTTCTTTTGGGCTTGTTTCCATAGCCCTGATTACTTGGTTCTCTCCCAAGATCGGGCAACACTGAGTCAAGCTGGCAAGCAACAACAACAATGGTGGCGTCCACAGGATCACGGGGAGCGCGTTGTGTTTGGACCCAGGCCCTGACGGCAGATCTGATTCAACACTGGGAAGAATATCCATGCCTTTACGATGTCACCGTGTTATCTGGGGCTCTGTCAGCGAGGGCTCGGTGGAGAAATCTTGTGGTGTGCACACACAGGTCGTAACGCAGTTGGTGAGACTCCCGATGACAGCAACACACGTCGCCAGGTATGAACACTCAAAAGATTACGATAGTCTCTGCGACGCAAAATCAGGGTGAAAATCGTGTAATGTGAACTAGGCTTAAATCCTGCTGAAATCTTACACACTTCACTTTTAAGTAGCAGGAATGTAGTACAATGTAAAACTGAAAGCAGTGATCTGTTTATAAAATTTGGGGGGAAATTATCATGTCTCTAGGAGATAAACTGTGATCAAGGACCAGTCTTACTTTGATGCAAAGATCTGTACATTAGAAGGAATGTAGAAAAATATGGAAGTGAAAGCAGTGATCTCTATCTCTATTTAGATGTGGCGGTGCAATAACATAAATTTTATCCCCACAATCAATAAATAATTGTGATCACAATGTTGATCAAAATAGTTCTGATTATCATTTTACTGCTCGCCCAATGTCAGCTGGGATAGTCAGCCTATATTCTCATTAGTTTTCAGCACAGGTCTTTCAAGAAAAAAAATCTTCTGTATCAAAACCTAAAACTGTAGGTTGGCTTTACGAGGCTAAACTTTATTGTTAAAATAGCAACAGAGCAAAACTGATAATAAACAAAAATCACGACACTGTGGGACGTAAAGAATGTGCAGCAACGTTGTGCTGAGTTCGACTCTGACATACACACACACAACCCCCACACACGTGCACATACAGACACCAAGTGCTTCTATATCGGCACGCTGCAAGGTGTTACAGTGCACCAACAATGACTCATGCTCTCCATGCCTTTCAACACCAACACAGTCAAACACAGCGAAGGAGCTGCTCTGAAGCCCACTATCGTATCACTATGTTCTGCTTGTACAGCTGCCAAACAACACAAATAGATTTGACTCCGTAAAGTAGTGGCTGAAGCTTTTATTTGCATCAACTGAAGAGAGAGTGAGGGCTTTATTTGAGGAAGGACATTAAATATTTGATGGCTGCAGCTTCACAAACGTCAGGATTTGTAGCTTTTCTCTGTCTGGATATCTCTGGGTTTTGCAAAATCTTCAAGAGAACATATTTCTGATTTCACAGACCAAATGATTAACTGAGAAATAATCTATAGTAATGTCATGTAATCTATGTTTGCACCAGTGCTGCTCAAACCGTAGTCAAAGTTTGTAGTTTTGTCAATGTCTCCAAAAAATATACAACATGAATGCTGTACTAAATAAAGCCAGTACAGCCAGTAATAAAAATATTAGATATTAGGGATGTAATGATACCAGAAACTCACGATACAATATTATCACGATAAAGAGTCCATGATACGATATATATCAAGATATTTATACAAGGGAGAAAAAAAAGAGAAAATTTATTGTTAAAAATAGCTATTTTATTCAAAAATAGTGCATGTAGTACTTAGCCAGCCTGGTCAACAGTAGATCTGATTCTCAGAACATATCTTAAGTTAAAGATGCCTCTGGGCAGGTGAAAATGGATAGCAATGGCATAAATAAGGTTTTTACAGAATTCTATGAAAAGTTATATACGAGTGAGCAGCCAGCAGAGGTCTCTAGACTCATGGAGGGCTTTTTCTCCAATCTCAACCTGCCCAAGCCTAGTGACCAACAAAAGACAGTACTGAATGGACCTATAACACTGGAAGAAGTAACTGAAGCAGTTGGTGTTTTACAATCAGGAAAGGCTCCGGGTCCTGATGGCTTAAGCTCGAATTTTTATAAACGTTTTAAGCTGCTATTGGTGAAACCTTTACTTGCCATGTTTAATCACTCCTTTGAGAAGAGAGCTCTTTCCAAAACGCTTACAGAAGTGAACATTAGCCTGATTCTTAAGAAGGATAAACCAGTGGATGTGTGTTCATCCTACCGACCTATCAGTCTACTAAATTTAGATTTCAAGATTTTATCTAAAATACTAGCCTTAAGACTAGAGAAAATCCTTCCATTTATCATTAATAATGACCAGGCAGGGTTTATTACTGGAAGGAACTCATGTAATAATGTTAGAAGGTTACTCAACATTATTCAGCTGTGTCAGCAAAATAATCTTAAAGGTATGGTAGTGTCATTGGATGCAGAAAAAGCATTCGACTGTATAGAATGGGATTTCTTGTTTTTCACACTCAAGGAATTTGATTTAGGTAAAGAATTTATTGAATGGGTCAAGTTACTTTATCATAATCCACTAGGGGCTGTTATCACCAATGGTAAATGCTCTGGGGAGGGGCACGTGTCAAGGGTGCCCCTTATCACCTTTGTTATTTGCGATCGCAATCGAGCCACTGGCAGAAGCCATTAGGACCCACTCTACTATTCATGGTATATTGATTAATCACAGACAATATAAGATTTCCTTGTATGCTGATGATGTTTTATTGTTTATCACGCAACCGGAAATATCTATTATGTCAGTCCTTCCTGTTATTAATGAGTTTAGTAAATTTTCGGGTTACAAAATAAATTTTAGTAAGTCAGAGGCCATGCCATTGGGTCAGGTGCACTACTCCCTTCCCCCCGGCTTATCACCCTTCAGGTGGGCAACAGAAGGTTTTGTTTATCTAGGTATTTTTATAACTCCTCTGCTGCAAAGGATGTTTAAAGCAAATTCACAATGACCTAGAGAGGTGGTCTTCCTTACCACTCTCGATGCTGGGAAGAATCTCTTTGATTAAGATGAATATTTTACCTCGATTGCTCTACAAATTTCAAATGATTCTGGTCCTACTAAATAATAATACTATCAAGACGGTGAATGGTTGGTTTAGGTCATTTATATGGAACTGCAAAAGACCACGACTTAAATTAGCCAAATTGCAATTGCCACTGGGTCAGGGAGGATTGGCAATTCCCAACATTAGACTGTATCAAGTGGCTTCTCAATTTCGATATATAGTAGACTGGGTACGGAATGATCCAGACTCTGTTTGGCTTGATATTGAAGCATACAACTTAGGTAAACCGTTACAATTAGCTAGTCTCCCATTTATCCTGATTCAGTATAAACTAGAGATTGCAGATGGTAATTTCATTGTGAAATCCACACTAAAAGCTTGGGACATGATTAAGAAATGGGGAAAAAAGAACTGATGTTTTATCTCCAATTACTCCAATACAAAGAAATACAGATTTTCTCCCAGGGATGACAGATAATGGGTTTGCTCTGTGGAAAAGTGCTGGTATCACAACTTTGAAAGACTTATTTGAAGGGGACAGAATGATGTCATTTGACCAATTAAGATTGAAATACAAACTATCACACACACATTTTTTTTAGATTCCTACAAGTCAGGAGCTTTATACAGAATCCAATTCGGCATAAATTTACTCTGGTAATGTCACCAACTGAACAACTACTGTACAAAATACATAGCAATAAGGCTATAGTAAGATGATGCTATGAGGCCTTTTATAAGTCCAATAAGGCTAACATTACAATTATGCAAACATGGGCTCAGGACCTTGGGGTGATAATAGACGAAGCTATGGAGGCGGACATATGGGAGCATGCTAACAACATATCCATAGGTAATAGAGCAAAGGAATCACAATTTAAATTACTGCATCGCCTTCAGATATCACCTGAACTGAGACATAAGATGGACCCAAATATATCAGCTCTATGTATGAAGTGTAATAAGGAAGTTGGTAGCTTTATACATACTGTGTGGACCTGTGTGCATATCCAGGATTTCTGGGTAGAAGTGTCTTTGAAATTAGATTTGGTTTTTAATAAGGAGTTGGACCTGGACCCAGTATATTTGTTGTTGGGATTACCACACCCACGAATAAAAGGATCTCATTGTCAGAAACTGTGGAATGTTTTAACATATGCTGCATGTAAAATTATATTGCTGAAATGGATTTCATATAAGCCACCTACAGTTTTAGATTGGCATAAGTTAATATTTGACCTTTTACCCATGGAATATCTGACATACTGGTCCAGAGGGAAAATTGGTTTATTTTACCATATATGGACCCCATTTCTCGATTATGCAGGACCTAGAATATCTAACATATTTTGGAAGGTGCTTCTCAGACCAGGGAATAACAGTTGAATGTTAAAGGACAGGTGTTGCTGTCTGTTTTACTATTTTTATTTGTTAGTTTATTTTCTATATCATTTCTTAATTATTGTAATGTATACTATACTTCAACTACAGCTGTCTGTTGATGGAACACAAATTGAACAAGTAAACAAGACCAAGTTACTTGGAATAATCTTGGATAATAAACTTTCATGGTCAGAACATATTGATCACATTATGAAGATAATGGGTAAAAGTATTGTTGTGACAAGGAAATGTTCTAAGTTTGTTGAATCAGATACTCTGAATCAAGTAATCAAGGCTTTAGTGTTGTCCCATCTGGATTATTGCCCGATTATTTGGTCATCTGCAGCCACTAAAGATATTAGAAAACTTTAAATTGCACAGAACAAAGCAGCTAGAGTTGCTCTCAATTGTTCACTGCATGCAAATATCTTAAAAATGCACCAGAATTTATCATGGCTTCTGGTTGAAAATAGACTAAAATTAAATCTTCTAACTTTTATTAGAAATTTGATTAACGATAAAAAACCACAATGTTTCTGAGATCAGATAGTGTTTACCAGAAATGTAAACAAATATGCAACCAGACAATCAAGATATGATAACTTACTTACACCTAAACCAAGGACAAACTTTTTAAAACATACTGTAATGTACAGAGCCATTATAAGATGGAACACATTACCCAATAACATCAAAAATATTAATTCAAAACAAATTTTTAAAAAGGTAGTAATAGACTATTTAAATAAATTGTAAATTTAATGAATTAGAAATATAATGCAGAATAATTATTGTAGGAATTATTTGTGGGTTGAACTGTTCTGGTAATGTAATGTGATGTCTGGTGTATTCTTTGTACCTAATCATGTAGTTTTAGACTAGACTGTTTGCTTAAAGTGCAATAACAAAGTCATGTCAATTAAAACTATAGTGACAGAATATGAAAATGGAAACATTCAGTATTTTTTAACCTACTCTGAACAAAAGTAGTGTAGTACTATTACTAGAAAGTCATCTGAATTACATCAAATTATGAGGATAGAGTAGTCTTAATATTCATCAAATATACAGAACTTAGAACAATCAGACCCTGCAACAACAACAAAATTGACAAATTAGAAATTATGTAAACTCAGTAACACACAATCCCACACTCACAGATACACAGAGAGACACAGAGAAAGAGAGAGAGAGAGGGAGAGACAGAGAGAGGTGGGTGGGGATGTGTGTAAAAGAAAACCAAAATAAATAAAGCCCAGCCATTTCCCTGAAAGTCACAGAAAAACTCAAAAACACACATTCACTCAGTTTGTTCACGCCAGGTTGACAATCTTGACATCAAGGAGATCCTAACACTTTCTCAGAACAGCAGATGAGGAGAGGAAAGCTCTGGTCCTGCGCTTTCATGTGATATGCGTGGCATTTCTGTGCGACCCTGCATTCGTGAGTAATCCATCCAAGAGTAATGTGTGTGCAAAGCTGTATGAAAGCTCTGTTATACATTATTTTAGTGTAAATTTATCATTTTTTTTCGCTGTGAAAACATTGGACTACCGACAAGTGCTTGGTCTTGTCGGAAGCCACAATTCCACTGTTTCACGTGATAAGTGTGGCTTCTCACTATGATGAACTGTCGTGGAGAAAATCAATAGAGAAGAACAATTAATCTCCTTACTTTTATGCGCTGTTTCCTGCAGTCACGCACAGGTCAGAGTCGGAGGCTGAGAGGCTGAGAGGCTGAGCTGCACGAGTCTGCTCTCACCTGCGCGCGCAGTTGCATGCAAAGGATTATGGGGATTGTAGTCGCACAGTCATATTACCGGCTCTGTAGGAGAACGCAACTATATAACTACCGTGGCATTCCCACGACGGTATCGAGAATTTATTTTATCGCAACACCGCGAAATCCCACATATGCCTATTAGATATATACAGTGTTTGAATTATACCTGTGGCTCCAGCCAAGTCATCAGGAAGCTCTCCTTCTTCTGTCTCCAGGTTCCCAATGAAGTCTACATCATTCTCTCCCGACCTATAAAAGTATACATCAACAACAACAACAAAAAACACAATAATTGGCTAAGTACGCAAATGTTAAATTAACATTTCAGAACATTTATTTCCTCCCTCTCTGCCACAGCTTGGCAAGAAAACTGAGGATTTTACGTTCTAACCACTGTTATACATTATTCTTTGTAAAGAGTTATGTCATGCATGTATGATTTCTTGAACTTCAACAATATGTTACATTAAGAGATGGAGAGAAGTTCTACTCACATGGTCTCCTCATCTATGTCGTTCTCCTCTGTGTTGCTGGTGGCTGTGGAGCTCCCCGAGGTGCTGCTGCCGTCCAGCGGGTTCACCTCCTCCTCCGTCAGACAGTCCACCTCTAAGTCTCCGTCCGACAGCTCCTGAACAACACAATGAAGCTAAGCTCGGGATGTAGCAGTAGACAAAGCCAGATTTCATCAAGAGTGACTTCTCCCAGTCTAATAATAAGAACGCCAACCAGTGGTTGTAACATGCTTTGTTCACAATCTATGCTGCAGTGATGCACTGTGACACTATAGTACCAAGCTACATCACAGTTGGGAGGGGTCGCGATTACAACAGACCACACCCTGCATCAGTCAGAGGTTCAACAGAACTTTTGGCCTTTTAGCCAGTGTAGCTACTATTTTCCTCTTTCCAAAATCTAATATGGACTTACTCTTTAAAGACTGTTTAAATTTCCTGAGCACTGGGGATGTTTGGAGCCAATTCATAGGATGAGGATCTGCAAACGAAGACTGTTTTTTCAATCAATCAATGTCAGCCAAAAACAATCTCATTGTTTGTTGATTAGGACGTGCAATTTGGTTAAACCTTCCATTAGAACATGTCACTGTGCTCAATTAAAACACTGGAGCTACTTCTGTCTCATAGATTTGCAACTGAGATCAGGACCCTTTAATGACGAGATGAAGAAAGGAAAACTTTCTTAAAACTATGAGTAAATGTCTCCATTTCTATTTTTGGAGACCATACAAATCATGTTCCCAACCTCTGTCTACTGCTACTCTACAAACACTTTAAAGCAGTGGTTACCAACAAGTGGGTTGCGGTCCAAAAGTGGGTCGCAGGCCCATTTTTAATTGCCCGCAAGTGACTCACAAACGTGTCAGGTTTGTAAAAAATACACTTGTTTTTAAGGTACAGTGAATTTCTGGCACAGAGCTTTTATTTTGAAGTGCTGTCTCCTGCTGCAAACTAGCTAGAATTCAGGACCCCGTGGCTAGACGAGTTGGGAAACACTGCTTTAAAGGACCATTAATGCAAAGCTTTGATGGATACATTGATGGAGAGTACAGTATGTTACAATCTCCAAGATATACATTAAATATGGGATCAGACTGTATTGGCAGTAAAAGGAGTTCCACTTTTCTGCCAGGTTCCTGCACAAATTCTGATCCGCATTCAACCAAAAATAAATTGGATCGCAACCGTTAAAGTGGTTTCCCAGCTGGAACCAAAAAACAAACAAACACACAAAAAAAGCAGGATTTCCTTGACCTGAAGTGTGTGACAAAATCAGTGGGCGGGTTGTATTCTACAGGTTGGAAACAGAGGATGGAGTCTTGCACATAATAGTCTTCTACGTCTTATCATGAGGAGTTGGTCGATATTTGGTTTTGAAATCACGTAGGAAAAAACAAGCACTCTCAAAATAAATGCACTTGTAAGGTGCACAGCCAAAAACAGTGAAAAAGGGAAAAACGCCAGCACTCTCAAATGTCCTTTTGGTAAGTTTAATAAACCAGCTTGGATGGCAGTACCAGTACACAGACGTTTCGACAGAAAGTCTTCCTCAGTGTGTAGCTATGGTTACGGAAGTGGCGTTTAAGTACGCTCGAAGCAATCAGAGCAGGTATGTGAAAAACACTTAACACTTCCGCCATAAAATATAGTACCAACTCACAGGCAAAGAATAAACAAAAAACAATCTTAAGAAAGTATGTCACAGCTAATAGCAGTAGATGCACAGAAAACAGATAAACATATGGATAATATACTCTGTTCATACAAAAAGGCACTGTGAACAACAGTAAACAATGTACATAAGACACCTGCTCTGATTGCTTCGAGCGCACTTAAACGCCACTTCCGTAACCATAGCTACACACTGAGGAAGACTTTCTGTCGAAACGTCTGTGTACTGGTACTGCCATCCAAGCTGGTTTATTAAACTTACCAAAAGGACATTTGAGAGTGCTGGTGTTTTTCCCTTTTTCGATATTTGGTTTTAGACAGAAAAAAACAAACAAAAAAGAAACCCCACAACAAAATCTGGTAGGTAATCAATGCCATCTGCCTCCTTGCTACGATTGTGCGTTTTGCAAAGCCTTCCACTGCAGACGCATCGTTGATTACAATAGTTCTGCTCAAAACTAATGGAAACGCACGGTGGTTAGCTAGATCACTTGAAGAATCCTGAACATAACTGGTTCAGGAACCAGAGATAGTTCGGTGGAAAAGAGGAACCAGAAGGACTTGACCAGGATGTTCCTATGTTTAAAAGATTGGATAAATAAATGACATGCTCTGTGAAACCACTTTATGGCCTCTGCAGCACAATAATTTATTTTCCCCCATGTGCACATACAACTTCAATTAACCAGGCAACCCAGTAAAACAAGTAAACAGTAAGAGGTCTGGTGCAGTATATTCCACCCTTACATTAGAGTCATCGTGCTGCGTCCTCTCTTCTTCTTCACCCTTTTTAGTGTTGGTCAGAGTGGTCTGGATGTCGTCGTCGCTCTTCACTGAGCGGGGGTCTCTCTCAGAGGCTGTGGTGCCTGCAGCGAGCCTCAGGTCGGGGGGCGAGGAGCTCCGTGATGTCTGACGGCGAAACAGTTCGATGGCCAACCTCTGAAATCAGAAATATCAATCAGTCCAGGAGACTGATACAGCGGTCGCAGCTTGATAACGTCTCACTCAGGGCAGAGAGGAAGAGTAATCAAGGAGGTAGTTAAGTACCTCCTTCAGGTTGTTGATCTGCTGGATGTAGCCGCTCTGGGCCGACTCCAGCTGGCTGATGTACCAGTACTGATCTCTGCACTTCTGGAAAAAGGTGGGTGAGCGGACCTGGTAGCTGTGCAGCACACACACATTAAAAACTCTCTGTTACACTGTTTGTTTCTATGATATCAGACTGGTGCAGGTGAGCATGCTCACAGAATGATGATAATGTGTGTGTGTGTGTGTGTGTGTGTGTGTGCGTGCGCGCGCGCCCACCGGAGGACCAGTGTGTCGGTCTGCATGTTCAGGTAGCCCTCGCTGGCCAGAAGGTCCAGTCTGAAGAAGCGGTTGTAGCCCCAGCACTCACCAACCTCAAAGTCAGAGGCAAACTCCCGGATGATGTTCTTGGTCGGGTCACTGGAGGCCTGATGGACCATCTCAACACGGTACTCATACCTACACCGAAACCAAGACATTACACTGCTACACAGGAAATACACGACAAGAAATGTGGTGAAAAGGAATCAAGGAGTTTGTAATCTTTTCTCTGTCATGAAAAAAGAACAAACTGTAAATGTTTGAGCTCTTTCACTGTTTGCTTTTACTGAAGACTGACTTCCTGTTAGGGATGTCACAATATGAGGTTTTGATATCATGATAACTGAGGAAATATAGCCGTTTCACTACTTTTCATAATAACAATAATAATAATAATAATAATAATAATTATTATTATTATTATTATTATTATTATTATTATGAAAAGTAGTGATAATAATAATAATAATAATAATAATAATAATAATAAATCACCAGTTTCATCACAATATGATATTGTATAAATTCTTTGGACAAGATACAATATTTGCCGATATTACAAAGTCCGCCATGATACGATTTTGACTCGATGTGATTCAGGGGCCTGCGATGAATATGAGACGATATTATCTGCCTGTTTAAAACAATCAGATACAGAAGAAGCTGCTGCACCTTTCTTTGTCACCTATGGCCATAAAAGATAAAAACAACACATAAATAATAAGTGCAGTAAAGTTTACATTTCTTACTTTTAAACAGCACATGGGATAAGTTAACTTTCAGGGCTTTCTGACAGAAAGACCTCTCTGGAAGATTTCTTTCATTTTAATACAAACCATAATCTGTTTCATAAAACTTCAGGACTATCTGACTTAAAGTCCTGAAGGAAAACTTCTCCAAACAGCCATAAAACTACAACATCCTTAAACAAAAGCATCAAACTCAGCTCAGTAATAACTGTCAAGGTTCAGGTTTCTCATTCATTATTAGCTTAAGCATGTTTACATTGCACAAATTAGCCTAGCAGCTAGCAGAATTTTATTCCTCTACATGGCTCAACAAATCAAATGAAATGTTCATACTTTTCTAACTCACTGTTGGTTTAAGTCACTGCATCTCCTGACAGAACAGCTCATTTGAATTTCAGCCTGCATGCTCGTTTTTTCAGCTGAACATTTTTAAACAAAGCAGCTAATGTTGCAGCAGAAAGTTAGCGGAGTGAGATGCCCATGTTTTACCTCATAAGGACATTGTTCACAGATGGCATGTGCTCCGTCTGTTGACCCTTTCTCCATAATCGAAAATATTTCCACACTGCTGATTTATTCCAGAGTAAGTAACTTAATCCTCAGCGTCTTTCTCTTGGCTGCTGCTGTTTGACGGTAACAAAGAATTTCAAAATAAAAGCGTATCCTAATGACGACGATACGAATCAATGTTTTCACTTTGTACTGATAATACTGGATCGTTGATCATTGAATCGAGATATCGATCCAGATCAATGGATCATCACACCCCTAATTACTTCCATCTACGTCCAGTTAGCTTTAAACAGTGTAACATTTAGGTACTTAATAATCTTTCATAACGGTTTAATGTAAATATGCTCTCCAGAACATAGGCTACACAGACAGAGAGTGACAGCCCCTCTTTAAGTCCTACACAGTTGGTAATATGATGATGATCCTGGCAAGATTACTGAAGTAAATAGTGACACATTGTGAACTACTCCACGGGTGTAGTGGTTTTGTTTTGGGCTAGCTTAGTATATCAGCTAGTTATGTGTTTTTTCCCCTTAACTTGAACATACAGAGGTGGACAATTGTCTCGAAGACGCTGGAACATGTTGTTGGAATTTGTAGATATCCTAAATGCTCCAACACTGCCGATTTAAGGCACTTCGTAGGCACGTGTGAGGCTGGAGTTTAAGTTACCTCTGACATTTTCACAACTCTTCTTCTCAATGCTTCAGGTTAGTGGTTGACTCTCTCTCACACGCTCAAACTGGCACACGCACACATTATGATGCTCACGAGAGGAGATACAGCTGCACTCACAAACGTGACTCGCCAGACTTGTTTTCAAAAGGCAACAATGCAGGAATCTGGACACAATAGATCTCATAGTTTGCACAATGCTTCCAGTCTGTGTTGGAAATTAACTTTTTTGTCCACCTGCCACTGTTGCTGGTAGACTCCAAAATCTACCAGTCACTGAACAGATTACCATTGTTGTGTTTGGCTGGTGAATCAAGCAAATCTTGCAGCCACTTGTATATCTGACCAGCATTTGACTGGTGGCTGGTGATCATTTCCAACCCTGCTTACAGTTACAGTTATGGTTCAACCAGTTAATCCCTACAGACCTACTGATCCCTCTTATCATACATGTTACAAATGTTTTCATCTCAGTTCATTTAAAATGCAAGCAGATACGCTGCATCTTAAATAATGACGCAGGCAATATATAAAAAACAATAATGTGTCTATCCTTTAAATACTTTCTTGACTTCCCTACTCTGGCACTCCGCATGCACACTATCATTTGAAAAAAGGCTAAATGATTTCCTGAACAAGCCTGTCACTGTAGTTTTTAGCCAACGTTACTCATACAGGAGTAGATGGTGCATTTGGGAACTATTTTCATCCGAGGATTAATACACATTTGACGCTCCAGGGAGTTTTTCCAGCAGCAGAATCGCTTCTGTGGGATCGATTCCCAATAAACTGCAGTGTGTGTATTAAAAGGTAACGACTGAACATGTGTTTGTAATACTTTTTGGAGCAATAAAGCTCTACGTCACAGAGACAGATATCTCTTGTTAATACTTGCTAGGAGGATGAATTCTTTCAGTACAGTTACATGCACAGTTTAGTGGAGCTACAGTTACAGCTTGACTAGGGCATTTAACTGGACTACTGTCCTTGTCCCAGTATACAAGCACGGGAGGGGAATTGATTTATTGACCCTAGTATGTCCAACTCCTCTACGATAGGTGGAGATGTGCCCACTGTCAGCTTGTTAGTATTGGACCTTTTTCCAGTTGACCTATTACATCACAGACCAAACACGTTAGCTATGGTTAGCTAGCAGCTAACTGGTACCATGGTGGACAACTTAACAGCTCTGTACATTTGGTCCTTCCAACGAGTCACGACTCTGGATGTAGATTTCTCCATGTTGTTACCGGCTTCTTCTTCTGTTACGCATTTAATGCTACTGATCAAACCCCAGGGTGAAAACTGTGGAGCATGCTGAGAGCGCCTCTGCCAGTTTGGGTCTGATTGACTGTATACATGCAGGAGTCACATTATCTGGGTGTGTTAGTCCCACTTTGAGAAATTCGATCGAGTGCAATTTCAGTCAGACCAAAATGTTTACATGTATTTTAAAAGTCCAGTTTTAGTCGGACCAACGCAATAAATTGATTTTCTCTAATGTCACGTGAACGTACTGGCTGTCTGTTAATCACTATCTCTTCATTGATCTTTTTGGCAAAATTTCTTTCTGTCATGATCACAAACTGCTCAATGCCAATGTCATCATTATCACAATAAAACAAACAACATTATGCTGGAAAAGACTAGAACTCCAAAAGCAGCGCTCTAAATCTGAAAATTCATTCTTACCTCAGACTTCACTTTACAGACAAAGATCATAGAGAGCGATTTAAAGGAGATTTTCTCAAAGAAATAATTCATACTTTGATGTTTCAGGGAGTCCAGCAGACAGCTCCAAGAACACAGACAGGTAGTTTCCACGGACCACACCGTTTCCATCCTGAGGAAACACATTACAACAGTTACTAACACACAGACACACATGCACTGGATTTGGAACGTTTTTAAGACTCTGTGCTGTTTTTTTTCCTGGTTTTTCAGAACTACTCTAAACAACCATCATTATGTAGAGAAGGAACTAAGCACTGTAGTGGTCTGATAAAAGGAGCGAACCAGTCCTTTTTCCAAAAAAAATAAATAAATAAATAAAAAAAAATAAAAAATCAGGCTCATATTAACAGGTCTTCATTTCTAATATTCCCCGTTTTATACAGATACTCAGATAGATATTTTCACAGATATTTTCGTTAGGCTACGTTCACATAAAAAACAAATAAAATCCTATTTGATTTTGCCCTCATGTGACACAGGTTTAATTTTTTCGAGTAGTGTGGATACAGAAAACTTGGGGGCACCTTCATATGTGGTTCAAAATCTGATACATATCCTATCACTGGCTATTTGACCACAATGAGAACTGTCATATCTGTATATCTGAAGTCATTAGTGTTTTTCCCAACCATCCGTCGGAGCGGTCTGCTGAAAAGCTGGAACATAGCCCTGGACACCTTAAGAATTTGGAGGTGCTGCTGCTCCGTGAAACCCTCAAAATCACGGCCCCACCACTCCCAACCTCACCAACACGTCTCTCTACAGAAGTCCCAGCAATAGCTGCTAATAGAGCTAGTTGACCAAAAACAAACACCCAGTGCTCCGAAGGGCCACTTTCCCAAACGAATGCATATGGCTGATTATTATGCAGACTGATGTCATCTGACATTCCTACTATGGCGATCATTCGGGAGATGAATTCACTGCTGTGTCATTCATCTCGTCCTCAAATGCCTGATTTGCGAAAGTGTCGTTTTTTGATGTTTTTTTAAACGCACACATGTGTGACGTTATTGGTTGCATATGAGGTGTTTCAGGGCAGAGATCCGTTCACACTTCAAACATGAATGTGTACAGTCTGGAGCAGCTGTGACTCAGAGGCGGAGCGCGTCCTCCCTGGCTCCTCCAGTCCACATGTCAAAGCATCCTCGGGCAAGATACTGAACCCCAAATTGCTCCCGATGGCTGTTCCATCGGTGTGAGAGTGCATGTGAATGGTTACTGAGTAGCAGGCGGCACCTTGTATGGTAGCCTCAGCTCCAAGTGTGTGAACATGTGTGTGAATGGGTGAATGTGACATGTAGCGTAAAAGCGCTTTGAGTGGTCAGAAGACTAGAAAAGCCCATTTTTCATTTTACCATTTAGGCAGAAAGATCGGATCTTGGGGAAGAAAATTGGAACTGAGCATCAAGACCTGTGATGTGAACGCAGCTTCACACATCCTGATATCTGAAGTTCTCCCATCTGACTTTGCTGTTCATGCTTATAGTATATTTTCTCCAACATCTTCTTTTGTTTAGGTGTTATAGTGCAAAGACAGCATGTACAGAAAAAAAAACCCCAACAACAATCATGTTATGCTCACCACTGTGCTGCTCTAAGTCAGTCACAACTGGGATTATCATTACTGAGCTATAGAAATTGTTTGTGACCAAACACTGAAAAGCAACGCATTGTAATGTGAATGCTAAAGCTCATTCTGCACACTGTATCCAGGCTTTAATAGAAATCATCAGTATAAGGGGAACTCACTGGGTAAACTTTGAGTCTCCAGCAGAGTCCAGATATCTGTAGAGGAGGGCTGTAGACCGGGTCAGCTCGCTGCCTCAGGGTGCTACAAACACACAAAAACACATATGGACACAACTTGGCAAATATTTACATCCAATAAACTTTGCTCTTATAGTGTATTATCTGGGACCGCTGGGACCCTTCAGTGGACAAAGCTCAGCGCTCCTCAACCACTGACTTTCTCCTCCCAGTTATTTCACCTCATGGTGATCTACTTCATTCATTTCAGATACACATTTTTGAATAAAGAGAAAGTTTACAACCTGCAGAAGTTTGTGTCACAATAACAGCAACAGTGGATACAGCTGCCAGCTACACTGTGTGCCAACTGGCATCAAATATTACTGTCTCGTAATGTAAAATGGAACAAAGTAGGGCTGCACTATAATGGAAATATTTAATGTCATAACATTGTTAAATATCGTGATTACAATATTACTTGTGATACACAGATATTAAAATGCACTCAGTTCTGCTTTCCTGCTGCATTCAGTATCTGTTTTTATTTATTCAACCAATATTTAACCAGGTAAGTCCTGTTGAGATCAGCAAGGTCTTTTTCAAGAGAGACCTGGCCGAGACAGCAGCATAACAAAAAGTTACAGCCAACAACAACACAATAAAAAACATAAAAGATATTCAGTATCCTGCTGAAATACAACAAACTGCTTGTTAAATTAAAAAAATGAAAGGAAATAACTTCCAAAATTCTTTGATTGAACAAATCGAACCTTTACCTAAACATAAAAGGCATCAATAAAAAAAAAAGAAGAAGAATGGATTCACTCCTCCACCTCATCCAAACACGGTCACTTCTGGCTCCAAAAAAGATGGCTCCAAGATGGCAATGGTTGAATTGCCAAACTCAAGGCCTCAAAACGTGAGTCCATAAACCAATGGGTGATGTCACTGTAGCTACGTCTATTATTTTTACAGTCTCTGGTGAAAGTAGCTTGAAATATCTTGATGCCCAAATGCATTGAACTACAGAATAGTTGGGAGTTGAACCAGGTCGAGGTGACAAGGTGTGTGGACAGTAGTAGTGGTTAGGTTAAAGGGTACAGTAGTAGTAGAAGTATTAAAAAAGATGTACATATAATACGCACACACAGCTGACAAAACTCTCAACAGCTCTGAGGTCCATTTTCTGTCCGCAGTAACAGTGATGGCTAAATAAGGGGAGGATTTACCTGAAGTTGACCAGAACGAAAGTGCTGGAGTCATAGGCAGGAACCAGCTCGCTGAAAGCACACAATACAGAATACACACTGAATAAAGCTGTAGTTTACTCACACTGTCTGGCTGCTCTCTTCTGTATTATCAGTCATCCATAGTCACACAGGCTTAAATACATTAAACATCACTGAACACTCAAAGCAGCATCTTTTCTATTTTTGATAGATAAGTATAAACATGGAATCCAGACATGAAGCTTCTTTATGAAAGGTTAAAAACAGCTGATCATAAGGAGCTAGTTATGTCTGTAATGTAAAAATTCACTTTAAAAATTACTTATTACATCTTGATACACTCAAACACAATTTTATACATGCTGTATTTATTCAACATATTACTGTTTATTCTGTGTGTACTGTGCATTACTTTGCATCTTACTGCTTTCTGCACTTGTGGTTAGATTCTAAACTGCATTTTGTTGTCTCCATGTTTGTATGATGTGCAAAAACTATAAAGTTGAATCTGATCTAATATGTCTATTAATAATTTCAGTCATTTATAAAGGAAAAATGCCAAACGTTCTCAATGTCAAGATTTTAAAATGTGAATATTTGCTGCCTGTGTTTTAGTATCTTTGGGTTTGGAGCAAAATGAGCATTTTAACTATTTTTGGACATCCTACAGTCCAAATGATTATTGAATAAATAATTCTAGTTAAAAGATTTAATGGACAATAATAAGAACGTGATATTTTGTGACACTACTGTGACCTTTCCTACAGCTGAGCGGATTACCTGGTGAAGTCTGGAGGGACTGGCGTGGTGACGAAGGACTGCATGGGTTTCCGATGAACCTGCTGGAACATGAGCAGGATCTCTGGGCTCTTGGAGATCAGTTCACTCTTACTGCAGGAGTGAAGCTGTTCAACACACACAAAACAAAAATAATCACGACGAGGCCCTCAACGTGAAGCTGAAACAATGATGGCACATTGTTTTTGGCCCTTAATTAAGGAAACATACTTAAGTTTTTGTCAGGAACAGCTGAGTGGATCTCATCCACCAAAATAAATTCACTAAGTATCTTTATAGGCAATGAATGATCCCGTGCAGCACAACTAGTATTAGTTCTGTAAACATGTACTTACCCCAGTAATGGAAGAAAAAAAAAACAGTGTTAACATTTTGGTTAGGATTTAATTTTTTGATTTGGAAACATTAAAGGGGACCCATTATCCTCATTTTCAGGTTCATACTTATATGTTGGATTTCTATAAGAACATGTTTAAATGCTTAATTGTTCAAAAACACTTCATTTTCCTCATACTGTTTGATAAAATTCCACATGGAGTCCCACAAGGCTCCATTCTGGGGTCACTTACTTTTAAACATATTCTTAACTGGCTTAAGGTTTTAAATTTGAAATTGGCAGTCTGTCATATTTCTTTCTTAACTGCAGAATTAATACTCACACATGACTACAGTGTATTTAATTCATTTTAAAATACGGAAAAGCAGCCTGTTTCTTTAAGCACCCCCTCTGAAAAAAGCCCAGTCTACTCTGATTGGTTAGCTTTTCCACTTCTTATCTCAGCTTCTCTGCATTGTCACTGCAGCTGGGAGTGACTGTAACTGAGAATAGTGGAACTTTTTACCATGAAAAATCACCAGTTAAAGCCACAGGAAAATTAGCAGCAGGAAAATTATCCGAAATTAGGGCTGGGCAATATGGACTTAAATTCATATCTCGGGATTTTCAGGCTGACTGGCAATACACAATATATATCTCTGTATTTTCAATGAAATGGGCTACATGTTCAAGAACTTGTACATGAATGTTATTCCGGTTGGAATATATACAGTTGCACAAAATGTACATGAAAAATCACATTAAATAAATAGCAGGGTGAGTGAGTGAGGGGGCGGAGCTGTGCAGAGAGGAGAGATCAACACCGGTATGCGTCATGTAAAGCAACTTGAAATGGTGTTGTCTAAATTTACATCATGCTTAAAAATATATCGATATATCATACAGTTGTCATATTGCTCCGCCCTATCTGAAATCAGAGATAAATTGACATCAGCAACCAAGGTTACAAGTTTCCCTCTACATTAGCATGTAGCTACATGTAGCAGTGTCTTTAATGTGAACATTTGCAGTAGCATGCCTGGAGCAGATGACCATATAAAGAAAAGCGATAACGTCAGCTTGTCTTGAAAGAAGAAAAACAATATAAACATCTGACATTATATTATAAATATGACAGAAAATAAGGACAGGCATAATAAGAGCCCTTTTAAATCAACTCTGATTGTTAGTAATGCATTTCTGTGTAAGCTTTAAATGTAGTATTTTAAAGGGTGATTACAGGTTGATGCCTTTGCAGTATTTTCCCATGAAAAGACCAGAACCAACAGCGCATTAGTCTGACCCTCAATTCTTATCGGCTTCCCTACACTGTCTGTGGCTCTCGGCCCCATTTTTATTGGTTCCTACTAAAGGTAAGGCCTTAAAAACAAGTCATAAATATATACTTTAGTTTTTTAAAACATTAAGACTGAATAATCTCTGCTGGGCACTGTAGATTTTTAGCGACTCAAACAGCCAATATGTTACATAGCTTCTATGTTCACACTGAATTTGTCAGCTTTAAGTTCTTCTTCCTCCCAGAAATACATAAAGAGATAAAACACTGCTGTTTTACTATTAAAATATAGATTGGGGGGTATTTAAGATAACTTTTATGATTTAAAACAAACAGTGCTACATAACACACCACAGGCTTACAGATTTAGCACAGTGTTGAACCGTACAGCTTATACCAATAACAACAACATACAGCACAGCTAAATGAATGGAGGCTCTGAGCTGCTGCAGAAAACCAACCTGATGCTCCACCTCCTGCAGGAGAGACTCCAGCAGCTCCGTCTCCTGGGTCAAGGACGTCTTCTGGCCTGGTGGGGAGGAACGCATTTCTATTTTCAGTGTACTTGTGCTGAATGTCAGCCCTGATGGAGGCTGCTGAGTGTGAGTGGTTGGGTGTGCAGGTTGTGGGCGCTGAGTGAGCATGCATGCATCCACTCAGCGCAGATAAATATTTCAGATGTATATTGCTCTGTAGCTATAAAAGGTTCCTCTCACGCCTTTCAGCGGGGAGTCTGCATATTTTGTTAGGTGAAGGTCTCAACCTTTAGACACAATGTGCCCGTTAAGGTGTCTTGCATCAACAAGAGAGCTCTTAAGACGTGGATTACGTAACATTGTTGGCATCATAAAGCTGTTGAAGTGATTTTTTTTTTTTTGTCCTTTATACAGAGGTGACTTGTGCACTATTTTATGTTTTACGTCTTATGTCTCAGATTCTCATTTTAACTTTATCTATGTGCTTTTATATATACTGTAGTAGGAGTGTTGCTAACGATTTAGCGACTTCTCAGACCCTCTAAGCGACTTTATTTCTAACAAGCAACTAGCGACAAATTCAATGACTAATTCAGACCATCAGGGAAAAATAGAAAAATACATTATATTGTAATAAATTCCCATGCATGCTGCTCAGAATAATCAGTCTGCGGCTCTTCCACCAACAGCGCAGGGGTCTTTCCCCCCTCTCTTCTCTCTCCTTTGCGCAGTTGGTGTGTGACAGGCAGGAGGGAAGGAGACGTTGCTTGCAGTGGTTACGTTAACGCTCTCTTTCTCTGGATTTAAAAGCATGACAAATAGGTGCACTAAAGTAAAAGTGCCAATAGCTCTCACGCCATTCAAATGTTTCGCTGAGGATTTTTCTACTGAAACTTATTCAGCAAAGTTTGAATACTTACGTTAATGCACAACGATGTCAACAATATGTCAGTGAGCGTATGACATCATCTGGTGATTTTCTGCGACTTTCGGAGCTAGTGCTACTTTCACTGGAAAAGAGTTGGCAGCACTGATTGTTGGAGGCCTGAGAACAAGACTTTCATTTCCCATGACTGCTCCAGTGAAACTGTTATGCATGTGACAAATAAAGACTAGTTTTGAGCAATGTCTAACAAATTGGCACACGATGATGATCACAGTGAAACATCTCTGTGGACGATAATGTTGTGTGAGGGGTCTTCGTCTGGGTTACTCCTATGAAGGTACTATCATTTTTTTTTTAGAAACTCTCTTTCATACTTTTTATTTGTATGCATGTTGGATGTTAATTGTTTTTATTTTTTGCACTTTTGCGCCCAATCACAGCCCATCCTTCCTTACTTTTTCTCCCTGTATCTTAACAGCTATCTCATTAAGCATATCATGTGATAATAAAAAATATTTTAAATACTGGTTACAGTGGTGTAGTAGCATTACGGCATATAGAGGTGACTCTTGGTCTTCCTATATACCTGTGAATATTTTTTTTTTTTTTAGAAAAAGCATGAGATTAAATAGGCTGTTTTTCCTTCTGTAAATCAGGTGCAAGGAGCTGTTATGATCATTAGAATAAACCCATTCTTAATTTTTGCGCTTCCTGGCTGACACTCTCTTAAATACAAATCTATTAGTTCTAAGGCACCTGAAGTACATACCCTGATGTCCACATTCAGCTGTGCTCGTAAAATCAATGTGCACGCCGTTCATCAATCAGGATTGTTACTTGTTAATCACACATTGATGCCATGCAGCGCAATCCTGTACCCCAGCGTTGGTTTGTGTGTGTGAGGGGGGCTTTTAAATCACGACGTCATACTCAGTGCTTAATGACTGTCAGCCATTAGCAACGATGCCCAACTCTACTTAAAACTTAACACTGATGTCCCTTATAGCTTTATTCATCAGACTGACAGGATGTTTACATAAAGAGCTGCATGCTGCCGCAGTAACTCCTCTGAGTTTCCTCCAGGTACTCCAGCTTCCTCCCACAGTCCAAAGACATGCAGGTTAATTGGTGACTCTAAATTGTCCGTAGGTGTGAATGTGTGAATGTGAATGGTTGTCTGTCTCTATGTGTCAGCCCTGTGATAGTCTGGCGAATTGTCCAGGGTGAACCCCGCCTCTTGCCCAAGCAGTGATGGATAATGAATTAATTAATCTTTATATTTCTCCTTCTTTTACTGCAGCTGCTGTGCAACGGTTTTCCTCAGAATAATAAAGTTCTCTTATCTTATCTTAGTGTTGGTACCTGTCACACATTTCAAACGTTCAAGTCTCCATTAACGACCATTTTACCACGTGTCTACTTTATACTGAGCATCAGCTGACAACCTCAGTTGACACGGATCTAAAGTAATATAGTTAGTATATTATTATTATTACTACGGCTCTTTCAGTGCTCCCTAGTTTATTAAACTGATTTTAATTTTCGTCAGAAGTTAATAAAGAATGTGATACATTTTTTCTAATGATCTCCTTCAAGACGCGAACTCATAATGTCTCTGTTTATTGTGCTGCTGCAGCCGTTACTTTAATGTGACAACATTCAATTTAGACTAAGAATGACATTGTGACTTCTATGTCAGTGACACTTGTTCAGACGTGAGACCAGCGTGTACAATAACTGTAACATTTAAGTAATGAGGCGTATGTTTGAAAAGGGTTTACTGAAATTGAGACTAAATGACAAAAAACAGATTTGAATTCAAAATGAGCTGTGTTTCATCCTTTAAACTTAAATTCTTGATTAATAAAACTCAACGTTAAGATTTTAACAACTGATAAATACCACTGTACCCTGCATAAGAGTACTTGTCAGCTTGTAGGAGTGTCTTATAAAGTCAGAATCAACACAGCTGCAGTGTGACAGCAGTGTGCACAGGAGGAGTCTTACCCATGAGGGTGATGAGTTTGTTCTTGAGCTGGTTGTCCAGACGAGCGATCATCATTTCCACTGCGTTTCGGATCTCTCTGACCCTCTCGTCTTTCGCTCCCCTGACAGCCTCCACGTTCCTCTCCTGACCCCATGACAGAGTGCATACACACACAGACACACACAGCAACAAAAACACACACACTTCAGCTTCGGACATCAACTCAAATATCAACATCTTACTGCCATCTAGTGGATTCAAAAAACACCCTACATCCAAACTTCCTGAACTTTTAAAGATTTCTGTAAAATAACTTTAAAATGGAACAAATTTAATCTTGTTTTAAAAAGTTATTTTTATGTTTTCTGGTCCCCTACTAATTCAGTGACTGTTCATCTCCATCTTAATGCATCATAAGAGAGCTATAAGAACCAATAACAGAACTGATTACCAAGAACCAACCAACAGATTATTATAAAACTCACAGGCTCTCACATTTAGAGATTTGGTGGTCTTTGAAACTGCACAATGAATGCATGAATGAATTGGGGGGGGGCTAATATAATGGTAGGGGAAACACTGAAACACATCAAACATGTTAAGGCATATAAGACGGTATCACCCCGATATGTCTATCACTGGTGCGAGGAAAAAAACAACTTGTGTGCAACAACTTATCCCCACTGCTTTTAAATAGCCTCTTGACATGAACACAGACAGGGCCAAAAACATCACCAAAGCAACTGGCATATACATATCCACATCTATGCGCCCATATGCCATAGTAGAGGAGCCCGGCTTCAAGTATTTATTGAAAGCGCTTGAGCCATGCTACAGTGTCCCATCCCATGTGCACATCAGCCAGTCTATGGTCCCTGCCATTTACAAGCTTGCAGGAGTAGTGGTGTTTTATTCTGTTTATTTTTTACTTTTATAACAGGAGATGGTTTTAAGTTTTACAGTCAATTGGTGTCTGTTCAAAGTAAATGAAAAAAAGCTAGTGTAATATACAGTACAGGCCAAAAGTTTGGACACACCTTCTCATTCAATGCGTTTTCTTTATTTTCATGACTATTTACATTGTAGATTCTCACTGAAGGCATCAAAACTATGAATGAACACATGTGGAGTTATGTACTTAACAAAAAAAGGTGAAATAACTGAAAACATGTTTTATATTCTAGTTTCTTCAAAATAGCCACCCTTTGCTCTGATTACTGCTTTGCACACTCTTGGCATTCTCTCCATGAGCTTCAAGAGGTAGTCACCTGAAACGGTTTCCACTTCACAGGTGTGCCTTATCAGGGTTAATTAGTGGAATTTCTTGCTTTATCAATGGGGTTGGGACCATCAGTTGTGTTGTGCAGAAGTCAGGTTAATACACAGCCAACAGCCCTATTGGACAACTGTTAAAATTCATATTATGGCAAGAACCAATCAGCTAACTAAAGAAAAACGAGTGGCCATCATTACTTTAAGAAATGAAGGTCAGTCAGTCCGGAAAATTGCAAAAACTTTAAATGTGTCCCCAAGTGGAGTCGCAAAAACCATCAAGCGCTACAACGAAACTGGCACACATGAGGACCGACCCAGGAAAGGAAGACCAAGAGTCACCTCTGCTTCTGAGGATAAGTTCATCCGAGTCACCAGCCTCAGAAATCGCAAGTTAACAGCAGCTCAGATCAGAGACCAGATGAATGCCACACAGAGTTCTAGCAGCAGACCCATCTCTAGAACAACTGTTAAGAGGAGACTGCGCCAATCAGGCCTTCATGGTCAAATAGCTGCTAGGAAACCACTGCTAAGGAGAGGCAACAAGCAGAAGAGATTTGTTTGGGCCAAGAAACACAAGGAATGGACATTAGACCAGTGGAAATCTGTGCTTTGGTCTGATGAGTCCAAATTTGAGATCTTTGGTTCCAACCGCCGTGTCTTTGTGAGACGCAGAAAAGGTGAACGGATGGATTCCACATGCCTGGTTCCCACTGTGAAGCATGGAGGAGGAGGTGTGATGGTGTGGGGGTGTTTTGCTGGTGACACTGTTGGGGATTTATTCAAAATTGAAGGCACACTGAAGCAGCATGGCTACCACAGCATCCTGCAGCGACATGCCATCCCATCCGGTTTGCGTTTAGTTGGACGATCATTTATTTTTCAACAGGACAATGACCCCAAACACACCTCCAGGCTGTGTAAGGGCTATTTGACCAAGAAGGAGAGTGATGCAGTGCTGCGGCAGATGACCTGGCCTCCACAGTCACCGGACCTGAACCCAATCGAGATGTTTTGGGGTGAGCTGGACCGCAGAGTGAAGGCAAAGGGGCCAACAAGTGCTAAACACCTCTGGGAACTCCTTCAAGACTGTTGGAAAACCATTTCAGGTGACTACCTCTTGAAGCTCATCGAGATAATGCCAAGAGTGTGCAAAGCAGTAATCAGAGCAAAGGGTGGCTATTTTGAAGAAACTAGAATATAAAACATGTTTTCAGTTATTTCATCTTTTTTTGTTAAGTACATAACTCCACATGTGTTCATTCATAGTTTTGATGCCTTCAGTGAGAATCTACAATGTAAATAGTCATGAAAATAAAGAAAACGCATTGAATGAGAAGGTGTGTCCAAACTTTTGGCCTGTACTGTATGTGACTTTTTGTTGCTGTTTTCCCATTGTACCGAACCCGTACCGAACCGTGACCCCCACACCAAGGTACGTACCGAACCGTGACTTGTGGTGTTACACCCGTATTATGGCAACATATAAAACTGCACACTCTCTGTGCTTTCTTCCTGCACTGAGCAGAACTCTGTCTGGAGATGATGAGACGGTGGGCCTCATCAAAGAACAGCTCATACCAGCAGATTTGTTCTGAAGTGGCTCGTACGAGTGAGTTAAAACAACTTGTCACATTTGGCAGTTTTCTCACACTTAGGATTTTCTCACACATTTTCTCACAGGTACAAAAGGATTTTAGGAACGGTCCAGACCTGAAGAAACACTTAAGAATTATTATGCAATAATCTGAATGGATTTGGAAAATGATACAGAAACCCACCGACATAAAAACAAACACAGAAATACACTTTTCTGTTCACCATGTATTTTTTTTAAGATATGATTTTATAGTCATATTTTGGGAGTGCAGCAGTTGCAAAGGAAGATCTCAGCCTGTCTGCCTCACGATGATGCAGGTTGTTATCACCTTCTACATATTATTCTCCTCCACCCTTGAGTCCCAGTGTGTGCACACTAGGAGTGGGAATCACCAGAGGATCCATGATACGACATTATCACGATACTAATGTCACGATACACTATCATTGTGATTTTAAATATGTTGCGATATGCTAAGTATTGCAGTAAAATATATTGCGATATATTACCTTTTTTCAACTGTACTTATGTCCCCACAGGATCAACATCTGTTTTATCTAATAAGATAAATTTTTCAGTGTGTTCATCTCACTACAGACATTTTTTTTTTGCAACAAAACATGTGTGGACTGAAAAAGCAATTTATTATATTATTCTGATAGGCGACCTAAAGTTTGATATGTATTTGTGATATTAATTATTTATTGATACAAAATCAATACTTGGCACTGTTCAGCAATACAATATTGCCACATAAAAATATCACGATACTGTGCTGACGCTACAACATGATAAATGTAATTTCATCTTTGGCTCAATAAAAATACTAGAGGAAGAAAACCAAATGTGTGCGACTGCAGCAAAGAGGAAAACCTTGTGGTGTTGTGCCTGCATGATGTGTCCTCCAGCTCTTACCATGATCAAGTAAGGAAGGACAAAGCATGGAAGGAAACAGAGGTGGAGTTGCAGCTGCCAGGTGAGACACCAAGGTGCTCACAAAAGTAATGACCCGTGCAACATCCTTGTGCACTCACTATGGGAGGCTATCGCATCGTAGGCGCTGTCATCGTACAGTCTGCAAACATCAGACTTGATGTCGTACCCAAGTTTATTAGATCCATGTTGCACAGTGAGGCTGCACTAAACTTATAAGACTATTGAAACCTCACAGTCTGCAGGAGGCTTAAAAGCAACAAGCAGTCCTTACCACTTCCTGCACCAGACTGATGAGCTCCATGAGGCGTCGGCGGAGCTTTGCAACCTCCTCCTTCACCTTGGTCACGTGCTGCTCGTAGATCTCCACCAAAGGCTTGAAGGTGTGGCCGCCGTGCTGGACACAACAAAAACACCAATTGTTCTCTGGTTCCAGTTTTTCTAGTGTCAAAAATGTCACTGTAAACTGAGTATTTTGGGATCTCGGACTGCTGACAAAGCAAGTTATATACAGATACCACCTTGGGCGTTAGAAGCTGTGATAGGCATTTGTTAGTATTTTCTGACATTTTACAGACAAAGATGTTAATTGATTGATTTATCGATGATGAAAATAATCCTTAGTTGCAGCCCAACTTTGACTCGCTGAAAAAGTTTTAATTAGAAGTGATTATTCAGGGTGTTTGTGCCTTTGCTTGCAAACTATATTCTAAAAATAAAAGAAGGGAAACATTACCATGCCTCCCCACAGAGCGCACTGATGACAGATGCATTTCTTACAGGTCCAACAGAAAACACTCAGCTTCTCATGGTGGTTCTCACATCTGCAGAGAGATAATCCAACGACACCAGCGTGTTATACAAAGAGACAGAGAAGAAGCTTTCTTGGGAACATTTTTTTTAACTTGGTATCACTCAGAAATGTTTGCGTGTTTTACTTCAGTGTTTCTACAAGGTTTATGAAACTAACAGACATTATAAATGCAGGTGGCAGAGGATGACGATAATGAGCGTGGTAAAGGAGAGGCAGGAGGGACAAGAACATCTGAGTGAAACACTGGGGATTGGGGTTCCCAGTGTTTTCTGGGAATTTTGGCTAAAATCTGATACTGTATCCAGGGAAAATACCTGCAGGAATATAGGGGTTTTAGCGTGTGTGTGTGTGTGTGTGTAGTGTGTGTGTGTGCATGTTTTTGTGTCTAAGTGACTAATGGGAACAGCAATTTCTGAAATTTGTCCAGCGCTGAGCAAAGAGGACTGCAGCTGCCAGGCGCCAAACAGGCTGCCATGTAATCACTCTGGGCATGTTTGTTTTGTCAATTTAAGTCCACTAAAAGTGTTTTTGCCACTAACAGGGTCAGATTGTTTTTCTAAGGGTGCATTCACACCTGTCCTGTTTGGTTTGGTGCAATCAAACTCAAGTTCATTTGCCCCCTCAGAGTGGTTCATTTGGGCAGGTGTGAACACAGCAAACACACTCAGGTGTGCACCAAAACAACCAGACCGAGACCTTCTTGAAGAGGTGGTCTTGGTCTGGTTACAAATGAACTCTGGTGTGGTTCGTTTGCGGTGAGAACGTGTTGCGACCTGGATCTGAACCAACTGCAGTCACATGACACATTGTTTGGGTTAAACATGAGCATGTTACAGTCCTGGAGGATTATTAATGTGCACCTCCTCCTGTACTGCCTTAATATGCACATTCAGCACATCCAATGCATCAAAACATTGTTTTCTAGTTGGAGCCGCGCCTCGTTTTCAAACTGTATGGTTTGACTCAAATGAACAATGACAGCAATATAGTCCACGATGAGCAGCGCTAAAATCAACCTGCGTAGTTGTCCCTCCATTGTGACATTAGAAAGTGTCACATTTATCTTGCAAGTGTACTCTTCTTCAACATTTGCTTTACTTCCTGGATTTTTCCCACATGGAAATTCTGACCAATCAAGAGCAGCTTTCTCACACAAGGCATTTGATCTGGTCCGCTTGTAAATGCTGCTGTGAGAACATGAACCAACTCTAGGCAATTATACAACTTTGGAACAACATGAGTCCCTGATTCAAACCAAAGGAGACAACTCTAGGTCTGAAAGCCCTTTAAGAGTCTGACAACATTATGGAAAGGATCCCTACAGAGATAAACCTTTTTGTGAAACCAGAAACAGCCCTGATATTGCAGCTGCCAAACCCACCAGACTCCATGTAAATTAACAGTGGTATACTGTTAATTTACTGATTATTTAAATGGATTCTGGTGGGTTTGGTGATGGTGATTTTGGGGCTGTTTCTGGTTAAACAAAAAGTATCTTACTCTTTAACAAAATGCTCTATATCTGAAGGGATCCTTTCCATAATGTTGTCAGACACTTAGAGTAACAACCTGAGCCTGTCAGTGACAAAAACAAACACTTCTAGGGGACGTACATTGAGGTGGCACATTCCTCCACTGGTTACATTGCTGCCTGTTTCGCAGCTACTGGCTGCAGTGCTCTCGCTCAATACTGGATCAACTTCAAATACTGTTGCTCTCATCGGTGATTTAGACACAACAACATGGGAAAATAGGGTCCAGGTTAAAAAATAAGTTACCGTATAAAAATTCCACGTAACTCGTGGATATACTCTGACTTTGAAATGCTGTTATGGAAACATAACTAGATCAACTTTTCAGCTGCATGTTTTAGAGTGCAGTCTACAGACCAGCTGTGGGTTTAAATATTGTTTTCAGGTTAACAACTTTGACACTTTTGGGGTGAGCCAGGTGCTTTCTCAAGGTCTTAGCCCACCCAAGCAAATCTCATGCCAAAGATCAAGCAACAAAGCCACTCCTTGATTAAAAACATATTGCTGTAAGTAATACAGACTTCCTATGCAGGACAATGTCTGAACGTCAGATTAATCTCTGCATCTGTGCACAGAGATGGGGCCATACAGTAAATACAATTTCTATGCTTTTCATTTCATCTCCAAAAATCACAAAACACTTTTCATGCATGTTGGGTAGATTCTCTTTCACTTTGCCCTAAAGCTTTCCATCTAACGCAGTTTGAAACGTCATTTTTAATACAACTTCTAATGATTACAGCAGAGCAGATCACAAGCTGAGTCTAGCTCAAGCTAACAGATAAAGTTGTCCAAATGTCACTGAATGTAAATACAGAGCTTTGCAGAAACATCAATACTTATGTTCTCTTTGTTGCCCTCAACTTTTTATATTCTTTCCTTTGAGTTTAGTAAATACCTGCAGGCATCACACAGCAGCAGGTCGATACGTGCACCTTACATGCATCATTTTTATTTTAGGCAGAGGATCAGACAATTCCCAGCGTGTTGTTCTATGTTAAAGATAGTTTACTTTTAAAAGAAACAGTTGTCCTACGACCACATAAACTGACTAATGTGTGGGAAAATAAGGTGAAAATGATTTTTATCCTCAGTTTTGTGGTTAAATTCAGATCACACTTTAGGTCAGAAATCCCAGGAAGGGTTTAATATACCAGAAAGTAATAATTTTTGAAATCACAAGAACTCTTTCAATAATAACAAACACATGGGTGGAGAAGGAGACAGGGAGCGGAGGAGTAGCTCACTTGTCCTTGTCGTTATCCTCGTGCTTGGTGAGGCTGCAGAGCTGCAGGGTGTCCAGCTGCTGGGTGACCTCCTCCGCCCAGCGACAGTTGACCAGCTCCCTCAGCTGGAGTGGCGCCCTGTGTACACAAACACACAGATTGTAATACCTTACCTTATGTCTCCTATGCTGGTTGCATTTCTACAAAAAATAATTTCACTCACTAACTTAACTACATTTCTCAGTAGCGTGGTGATGACATCACTACCTTCTGAGACAAACAGCATTTCAGTAGTGAAGCTGATTAATTGACCAAACAGCACAGTAGCATCAACAAAAGTTACAGACTATTTTTCTGAGGAAAAGCTCTGAAGTGCAGCTGACTTTTTTTCAGTGGAGGTCTGGATAAATCTAAGGTTAATAAAACTGAGGATAAGTAACGAGACTGACACCAGCGCCACACTGAGGCATGTAGACAAGGGAAGCACTTCGGTATGAAATCACGTTCTAATCCGACCCGCCCTACTCTGATTGCCTCCAATTGGCTGCACTGCACTTATTGATGCGTCTCTCATGTGTCTCGCCCATAGACTGTCTATATTTAGTGGATTTATGGTGGACACCAGAGAAATAGACACAACAAATGCTGAGAAAAGAACTGAGAGACAGAGAACAGTATGAAGACAGGAGAGAGGAGACAGAAACATACAGATGTCATGTGTTATCTGAAGGACATGTTTATGTTCTAATGAATAAAGAAGAGTTTTCATTTAGCTCTGTTATTTTTTATTGTTTATGTAACTGTCTTTTATTTATTATGGTTTTATTGACTGAAAAATATACTTTGGAATTCAGTTTTTGAATTAGTGACAGAGTCAGACAGCCAACTGAAAGAGGCCGTGACAGAAAAATGCATTAAGTAGGATATGGAGAGAAACAGAGAGGGAGCAATAGACCGACTGTCACAAGGTCTTCAAATACAACAAAAAGAAAGAAAAGAAGACAGTTTTAATTTAAATGCTGATTTGACATAAAGTAAAAAAGTAAAAGTAGCTTTGCAAGTACCAAGTTACTTTTGCCATTTTCTCGTAGCTTAGCTTGCAACGTTTCTCTGTAGTGAAACTTTATTTTGATGTAGAGTAACTGGTTGCTTAGCTCACTACATTTTCCAAGTAGCTTCCCCGATACTGCATGTTTAATTTAAAGTTTGTACACTGACAGACAGTACGGAGGGTTCCAGATGTGTGCTGGCAGGCGCTTACCGACAGTGTGGACACTGGGCTCTCTGCTCCGTCAACCACCGCTGTCAAACAGGACATAACAGTTTAATCATTACTGCATCTAAATACAATCAGTGCAAACATGCTGCCATTGCTAAATACACAATTCTTCTCAGGATGCAGCTGCCAATACTCAATGCTCAATTAACATTTGATACAGGATGCTCCAAGACGGTTAGTGTCATACATCTATAATAAATTCATATAGGCCTACATCAGGAATAAAAGCATGGGAAGGGATATACTTACTCTATATACTATATATACTCTTCCTCCCTGCCGTATTATTAGACTTGTCTTAATTGAAGAAAAGCTGCTAATAAAGTTTCACTAATACAGTAATAAACACATTTTAATTCCTACGGAGTCTTAAAAATAAAAGTCCCCCGTTATTTTGTAATGTAAAAACTTTTATTATGCAGCAGCAAAATAAGGAAATGTTGAGTTTTCAAGCAGTAACTTCTCACAGCTTCTAATACAGCTGATAGTGAACATGAAACAGTAAAATAAAGCAGATATCTAAAGTAAAAACAGGACGAAGGCGAGAAACTAAACTCCAAACCACAGAGATTCAGTTAGAAGCTACAGACGTACTGAGAGCTGAACACAGAGACTTTTAAAAACACCTTTCTCTCTGGTCTCCTGCAGACAGAGGTGAGGAGAGTCTCACAACACACTGATAACTTGCTTGAAAATATGCCGATATATTGTAAAAAAATCCATATACCGCCCATTCCTAGTATATACACTTGAAATTTAGTCAAAGAGCTTGTCTAATGCCAAGATTAATACATAAAAATGGGACTGGTCCCGGATCATTATTGCTCCCAAATGATGACTCCCACCTTTCCCTTTTGGACAGAGCTCATAAAATCTGGCTGGCAGGCCTGAAGAAGTTTTCAGTCCAGCGTTGGAAACCCCCCTCATGATATCTCAGGTATTCACTGGCGTCTGAGCTTTTTGGACACTTCTTACCTGGAAGTGTCATCAGCAAGAGTCAATGATGCACGTCCAAATTATTTTTTAGTGTGGACAAATTTGATATCTAGTTTAAAAACAGGGAAGCAGGAGAGAAACTAAACTTCAAAACACAGAGATTTAATTAGAAAATAAGAAAAGTGCTGAAAGCTGAACAGACAGAGACTTTTAAAAACGCCTGTCTCTCTGGTCTCCAGCAGACGAAGGTGAGGAGAGTCTCCCAACACATGCTTATTAAAGGGGGGGCCTCAGGGCTCGGCACGTTTAAACTGACAATGGATAGGTGAATTGGCCCGGCACAGTTTGACTTGGCTTGGCCAAAAGTGCCAGTGGAAAAGGCCTACAGTTAATTTGCTAATGTTGTCATTAATACTCATTTGAGCATCAAATTTGTACAAATCCACTGCTGAAAATAGTTCCCAATGACTGCGCTATTTACTCTCTATGTATAACATTTGAAAGATGTGGGCATTTATCAGGCAGTGACACTATTATGCTGCACATTGTGGGAAAAGTAGTCTTCAGTGTTTTTGGAACCTGCCTCATACTACAAACTAAACAGTTGAGACATCTTTGTCTCTGATGTTTCAATTTGGACCATTTTTGTTTTTTTAACTGTCTCTTGTGACCCCCCCCATTTTACATAAGTGTGCTACCGCATATGTTCAGGCTATAAAATTGTGCACGTCTTTGCTTTAACCCCCAAAATTAAGCTCGTATCTGTTTGTTCTGCCAGAACTGATTCTGAGAAATAGAGGCCCTTGTATGTGTGTATTCATGATGACAAGATTTTGTGTGTGACACCAGAATTCACAACTAATATCAGAACGCAGAGCGGTGCTGCTGTGAGGGGAACATTTTCCAGACACTGCCAATGGAAACACACTTACTCGTATGCAGCTGAAGCAGCAGAGTTTGGAGCAGTGTGGGCACAGACGAGCATCCCTCAGTTTCTCCATGCAGATGAAACAGCGAAACACCTCTGCGATGCTCTGCATGGGGACAGGAAAGAGATGTTGAGGCTCAGTGCTACACTAACTACAGCCACAGACAAAAACCAAACATCATGCAATTCACAGAGGTTAACAGGTTAACTGTAAAGCTTTTTTAATGAGTTATGTTGGATTGTACATCTGTGCTTAATAAGTGTAGAGTAAAGCAGATTTATAATATCATTTTTTATCAGATGACACAGTGTGCACATCTCTTTTCTAACTCAAGCCATGTCTAAATTATAGTCTGCCTTTAATCCCAAACTTGTACTGAATGGTAATAAAGAGAAATATATTTTATTCTAAAAAGCCCATAATTCTATTTTACATCTTCCTGCCATCCTTACACAAAAATGTTGTGAAATTGAAGATGTTCAATTATGTAAATATCTGGAAATGTGGTTAGGTAGCGATCTTACTTTTGAACTCTGTGTGGAACAAATGGCACAAAAACTAAAACTAAATGTGTCTCATATCAGAATAAAATGTGTTTTTCTCTTTAGGACAAAAAAAAAAAAAACACCTTTTGCAAGCTACCATCATGTCCGTGTGAGACTACGGAGATCTCATGCAGCACATTCCATTGCGTAAGCACTTTCTGTGTTTTGTTCGTACCTCACCGTACCTCACCGTTAGTCACCTTTTGACACCCCACGAGTAAATACTGAACTTGGGGAATAATATAAATATAATATAATATAAAGGACAATAAAACTTTAAAGTCTCATTCTGTTGGATGCACTTTAAATTTTGGGCCTCTTGAGAGATGTCCGTGATTGTTTAAGACACTGTTTGTATTAGGGATAGGCCTTTTAAGTCATTTTCAAAATGCACACCTAAGCAAAAATATCGGCATGGTTTCAGTGAACACGCTTTTCTGCATTCCTCAGCCTTTAGAGATTAGTTATGATACTCAAGTTTGATGTTGCAGCTTGGACTGCACGTTCATTTTGTTTATTTTATTGAAATACTTCCAAACATCACTTTTATGCCTGGTAGGGCTGCATGATATCAGGAAAACATGCAATATGTGATAACCTTGTTGACTATTGCGATGAGGATATGACTCGCAAAAAATAATCAAGTTTTGATGTTAATGTCATTTAGCTCAAGTGATGTCTGACTGAAAAGGTTAAACATTATCGGGCTGCACAGATTTATCATTTTTGCAATATGGGTCTGTGCAGATTATCAAAGATAGAAGTGACGAATATTGACATCCAAATGGAGTGCTTAAGTTCTCATGCCCCTTCCCTGGTTTACATTTGCTTGTGCGTGACTGACTGTGTGTTGCTGCGCATCTAAATTCTCTTCTGTGACTCTCTGCTGGTCTCCCTTACAAATAATGAGCATAATAAACTGATAATATATACTGCACTTATCAAAACTAATGACCTCTGTTATCATGATCTGTTCTGATTACAGGGAGAAATTACCTCTGGCAAAGCTATACGCTACAATATAAGTGATGCTATCAGTCATTAAATCACTAAATGCTTTCCTGCCACACCAGGCAGCACCTAGTAAATGTTTTTTGGTGGTCTCATTATAAATATATTTTATATGACATTGTTAAGTTGCTCTTTATCTTTGACCGCAGTAAAAACAGCAGCTTTCAGTCATCTGCTCCATTTGTAAAAGTTCAACACCGATGGAGTCAACGTATTGAGTGTATTAGGCCCCAATCTGTTGTCCAAAACAATGCCTGAACCTTGGTTTCTCTGTTCCTGCCTCTGCAGCCGGCACAACGCTCTTATCAGGCCTCATCATCCAGCTGTTAGCCTGGCCTGCGGCGTGTGATACATACCTCAACGCTTTGTTCATCCATCTCAGCCAGTTTGAAGTTCTTGATCTCAGGGACGACTCAAAGAAGTTGTAGCCAGTGGTCTAAAAAGAAAAGCATTGTTATAAACTGAGCTTTAAGCTTCCAGGTTCACAGTTTGACATACCTGATATTTCTGTTTTGCCTCTTAGGACGCATTCACACTGGCACTATTTGGTCCGCTTCTACGGATAGTTTGGTTTGTTTGGAGTGGTGTGAACACTCATTCGAACTCTGGTGTGGACCAAACGAGCAAACCCTGGTCCGCTTGAAAACTGGGGGTCTCGGTTCACATGCAAGTGAACCCTGGTGCGGTTCCACGTTTGTTTGGAGTGGTGTGAACACTCAGACCAAACAAGCAAACCCTGGTCCGCTTGAAAACTAGGGGTCTCTGTTCACTTGCAAGTGAACCCTGGTGCGGTTCGCTTACAGTGGGAAATGCAAATGGACTATCCAGCGAACCAAAGAGAGGAAGTGACGTAGAGCGCGGTGCATTTTGGGTTGGTAAAAAAAAAAAAAAAACAAAGCCAACAGCGGGAACCGGGAGAAGCAGAGGTAAATAAAGAAAAAGTTGGAAAATGTCTGGTGTGCAGACAAGGAGTAGTGAGGAGGTGCAGGCGCTTATTGATATATGGCTAGAGGACTATTGCTCCATTGTTTTTGTGGTGACCAAGACGGCTGAAAGGGATGGATTTCCGTTTTCTGTCCAGACCAATCGATGAGCCGGGTTTTTCTTCTTCCTCATGCTTTTTTTCTTCCTGGTCTGTGCTCGTTTTAGGTAATACCGCCCCCAAACAAGCAGCTGTTGTAACTGTGTGACGTTGTCCAGGCAGTTTAGTCCATTTTAAAAAGTGCAGTGTGAAAGTGAACCGAACCAAATGAAGGTGTGAAATTTTCCGGCATTCCCCGCCCAATCAAACCAAGTCCCCTGGACTATCCTGGTGTGAATGCGCCCTTAGTCACTGTAGTAGAGTGTCAAACAACACAAATGTGCCACTGTGCTACTACGTACAGACTCCAGTGAATGTGTTACACTACACCTTGAGCAAGGCACCAAACCCCCAACTGCTCAGGGCACCTGTCCATGGGCAGCCCCCTCACCTGACATCTCTCCATTTAATGTATGTATAAGTCCTGTTTGTGCATGTGTGTGTATGTATGACAACAGAGCTAAAAAATTGCATTTCCCCTCAGGGATTAATAAAGTATATCTTCTTTTCCTCTTCTTCAAGCTGCAGGTGGGATAGGGCTGACTGATTCCTACACAGTAGAAATAAAAGCATGGGCTAAAATCTCTAAATCTCTGTTGGGCAGGACAGATTTTAATTTTGCAAGTGACCTAAGATGGTAAAAGCCAGTGCTAACAACAGAGTCCATTTGTCCATCAAATTTTAAACCAGAAACAAAGTATACACCAAGATTTTTTGCATGTGATCAGGAATGCATGATACTGAATCTTTTACCAGTATCTGATATGTCACAACTCTACTGATATCGATATATCCACTTTTTCTGTGGTGGTATTAACATCATATCATACATGCATACTCTTATCGTGACAGCCCACCAGCAGATGGAGACATGAAATTCAATACTTTTCAGTGTATGTAATATTTATTCATTGTGCAAAATTAGAAAAAGCATGGTGGCTGATTCTGATAGTTAATTTAAAAGCCAATATTGGCTGATAGCATTGACATACCGATATTATCATGCATCCCTACATGTGATTTTAAATTTAATAACATTTAGACTGATGGAATAAACGTCTTGGGACAAGGAGTTTTGTAGGTTGTAGGTGTTACTGTGTGATACATGCACTTTCTTTTTCTTAAATCTAGACAACATGTTAGTAAAAATATTTTAAATACTATTTGCTTTGTGTCTGGGCCCGTTCTCAAGCTTTAGACAGCATATCAGGGTGTCCCATGTCACATCTACATCATGTCTCATGAACTGTACTTGTAGTTTTAACTGTTATTTTTTTGTGAATAAAGCTCCAACAGTATCGTCCCCTGACATGTGACACTGTGGAAGTTTGAGTCATCTAATTTTTCTTCTTTTGGGGCCAAAATTATTTCAAATTTTAATCGAATTAAACATTTGGTGGCTGAATCACAGTGTTTCTATCCCTGTCACAACAGCCATTGTTAAAGTAAAAGAAGAAAAACATCAATGTGACGGTAATAAACGGTAATGTGTATAATCTATTGTCAAAGATAATTTGTATGGTTTCTTAAGAAAAGCAGAGTTAATACAGAACTACCGTTAGCATGTGCCAACACAAGGCCCAGCATCAGCACACACACTGACAGCTAACTCACCTGTCAGGGAGCGGCCATGACAACAGCTATCTTTATGCTAGTAACATAAATCAGCGGTGTCAAAGTAAATAACCAGAAAATATCTACATGTAATCGTGATGCTAGCTAGCTTGCTGTCATTAGCAGGGTGGCTCACTTACCTTCCCTGAGACTCGGCTTCGTCTGTCACACCTGACAAACAAACGATTAGACTACATTTATGTGTCCTCACACACCGTTGGCGTCGTCTCGGCTGGTTAAACCACCATAAAACACCAGATTTAGTCCGGCAGCAGCTGAGCTGAGGCAGAAGTTCTGGTAAAAAACGGCAAAACGGTTTGTTTTTTGCCCTAAATTGAAGATGTAGCGGTCGCGCTTGCTCCGAGGCTGTCTGTCCCCTAGCAATAACCAATCAAATGGCTCCATTTCTTCTTCGCTTGATTTTAACTGTTTCGCGTTTGTCGGACAGCAGAACGGCTTTTACCGCCACCTACTGGACAAACAACAGACTCACAGAAGAGATGCTGGCACAGGCAGCAAATACAGCTCCTCTACTTTATTATTTGATTTGTTATTTACCTTTATTTAAACAGGAAGTCCCATTGAGATTTAAAACCTCTTTTACAAGACACAAAACACATTAAAATGCAACAACTACAAAATATAATACAAAAATCCACAATAAAACATAACCATTCAAACATAGTGGCATCTAAAGAAAAACAAGCACGTCTCTATCACCACATTCTTTATGATACCATTAAAATTTGTCAATGGATATAAGTGTTTCTTATTTTAGATCTTTTTGTAGATTGTTCTACGCCCATGGTACAGAGTAGGAGAATGCAGTTTACCCACATCTGTTAAAAACCAGAGTACATTAAAAAGCAACCACCTGGAGGAGCGTAGCTGATAACTACCAGAGCTGACACACAGAAGGGTGCAGAGGTCGGCTGTAAGTTTGCCCAATATTGCTTTATAGATAAAAAATATACCAGTGCTGCTGTCTTTGAGTGGTCAGTGACGTCCAACCCACCAAATCATTAAGAATGCAGTGATGATTCTTGGAATTTGCATTTGTAATAAAATGCAGAGATGCATGGTACACTGAATCAAAACTAAGTAAAATGGAGGAGGCTGCATGCATATACAATATGTCACTTTAATCAACCACAGACAGAAAAGTATTTTCCTCAATTTTTACCATTTGTATTTCTAATTTAACCCTTTCATGCATGAATTATGACTATTTCAACCAAGGTTCTTTTTTCTAAGGGGTTTTTAATTCCTCTTTACGCATAAACAAAGTTGATCTCATGCATTTTAAAAGCAGTTTTTCACATTCCTACTCAGCTGATGAAATATAAACCAATGAAAAATCAACATGTGAAACTATATTTTTAATGCTGTTAAACTAGTGTGTTCACATATTTTAACATATTCTAATACTGTTCAATGCAATGCAAAAGCATTGAACCTTGCTCCTGACTCCTCAGACCCCCTCATCCCACTCTTCTCCACGTTGAACCATTTTTTCCATGAGAATTTTCTACAAGAATACAAACTTAAATCAACTTATCAGTCACTGCAGACAAAGTATTTTCAAGGAAGCAGCAATAGTATTATTTGTAGTTGAAATGTAGCAAGAGATGCATGATGTCCAGTTTAGTGGACAGATGGTTACTTGTAATTTCCTCCAAACATAAAATCATTTTAACAGCTATATTACTCCTCAGATGTTACTTGCTGTTACCAAATTTTATTTACCTGCAGGGTCTCCTCTTATAGACGGATTGGTAAGATATTCCTGAGCTGCACAACATTTCTTGTGTTCCGTCGGCCATCTTGACTTTGAGAGATTTGTGTTTGCATGATGTGATTTTGCCAAGTAGGACATACTCCTGGATCAGCATACCACATCACATTCCTGGATCAACCTTGCAATCATCCAAACACAGCCCTCTGACATCATCAGTGTGCTGCTCCTGTGCTTCTTCAGAGCTAAGCTAGTTTTCCAAACTGAAGTTAGTACAATTAAACAAAATCCTCAGCACCCTTATGAGCTACTGCAGGGTTAGCGAGCTAGCTTGCTAAGTAGGTTGGCTATGCTTATGAGTAAACCTGCTATAAAAAAGGCTATAATATTGTTCACTAACATAAAGAGCAAAGGTTGCTAAGACCTGTGATGGACACATTTTCACTTCTTTTCCATTGCCTATGTCAAACTTTTTTTTGTTTTGTTTTGTTTTATTCTGCAAGATTGCAGCGCTTGTGTTGATACAGAAACATCACTGCCATGTTGACCCTGGATAATTTGTTTATATCGATTAAGGATCATTGTCAACATGTTAATCCTGGATAGAGTCGCTGATGTTGATCTGGACCATCACTGCTACGCTGATGTCAACTTAAACAAATTATTTCGAATCAGCCTTATGATGATGATGGTCCTGCATCAAAATAACAAATCTATCCAGTATAAACAAGGATTGTCCTGGGGCCTGTATCACGAAGCAGGATTAATGTCTTAGCGAGGTAACTTCAGGGTTAACCCTGGGTTTTCGGTCTCACGAAGCCGGTTCAGTTCTTACCGGGGTAGATCACCATGGTAACTTACTCTGAACAGCTATCCTGCTCCAGAGCAGGGTAAGTTCAGGGTTGAATCTGATCCTATAAAAAGCACCACCCATTGGCCAATCAGCTGTTCGGAAAAAAATGACTCCGCTGACAGAAATGCAGCCCAGTCATGATGGGAAGTTTAATTTATTTGATTGATTTTGATTTGAAAGTTTATTTTGAACATTAAAAAAAAGAAAAGAAAGCAACAACAACAGACAATGAAAAGATTGTTCAAAAAGGAAGAAGTCGAAATTTCATCCCACCCCTTCATAAGAAAGAAACTGCGGACACTTAATAGCACCATTAATTAGTGCCAACATTTTTTTTTTTTGTTGGAGGAAATGCTCCCTGTTAAAGATAATGGGCCTAATTGACAGCTTTGCTGCTGGAAATGTGGAAAGTAGCCTATCATGTCTACACTTCATGGTGTTTGAGGGATTTTCCTTTTTGTTTTTTAAAGAGGGAGACTAGGTATATTTTTGCGCAGCTGTTAATTTCTAACACAGCTCAATATCAGGATGATTTTATTCAGACTATCAATTTGGTGTTGATATGATTTAATTGTGGCGTCAGCTTTAAGCTTTATTGTAGCATATATAACGTTATGACAAAGAAGACCAATTTATCAGATGCAATGATGTTAGACGATAATTGTAATACACGCAATTCATCTGCGCAGCATTGATTTCATGGGATTCAAGGGTGTGATCAGTGTCAGATGTACAGGTACAGGTACTGTAGCTACTTGAACCAGTGATGAGTAATTTAACCTACACATCATTTTATTTGCTACCTTGTTTTGTCTTGATTTTTCCCTCTCTCTCCTCCTCTATTTCTTCTTTCCTGACCCGTTTTTTCTTCTCTATTATGTGATTTCATTGATGTTTTGACAGGGGAATTTCTTTGATAAGCTTTTAGTGGCTTCTGACCTCTCCGGCACTTTTCTTATTTTAATCTTGTAAATTTTATACTGTCAGTTTTTAACATTATGTGCAAATAAACTAATCTAAACTAAAACTAAACATTATTCATCCCGTTATGCGTTGCCACGCATGTTTCCTCCTCCTGCAGCTGCCACGGTGTTGGCCTTTTCTCTAATGTTGCGTTTCTCCTCCTCATATTTTAGTAGAATTAATCTCTGATCCTCACGAGAAATACTTTTTTCCCCCTCACATACTGTGAGGATGCTCAGTGACGCTCGGTGACGCTGCGCTTCTCTCATGATTGTGATTGGTCCGCTGCGTGTGCGTTCACGGCTCTTGATAAAGCAACCCTGGGTTGAGTTACCGAGTTGATATCCAGCGTCGTGATACCGATTATCCTGATTGACAATGTTAGGGTTAGTCAACCCAGGATAGGTCTGGGTAACCCAGGAAAGGTTGATCTCACTTCGTGATACAGGCCCCAGGGTTCAACAGAAACAAAATATCCAGGGTCAACATGACAGCGTGGTCCTGGCCTGCAATCTTTCAACCCCTCCCTCCCTCTGCTCCCAAAAAGAGATTTTAATAGGCTATAAAAAAGGAGGGAATACGTGTTAATCACAGGTAGTTGCAACTAAAGCTTACTCGTTAGCATAGCCTACCTACTTAGGAAGCTAACTTGCTAACCCTGCAGTAGCTTATAAGGTTTTTGTTCAGTGTTGCTGAGGATTTTGTTCAATTGTACTAACTTCAATTTGGAAAACTAGCTTAGCTCTGAAGAAGCACAAAGGCAGGAGCAGCACACTGATGATGTCAGAGAGCTTTGATTGGTTGATTGCAATGTTGGTCCAGGAATGTGATGTGGTATGCTGATCCAGGAGCTTGTCCTACTTGGCAAAATCACACAGTGCATTTATGGTTCACTTACTACACCTGGCCAGTGGGTGGCAGTGTGAGGCATGACTCACTAGGGTCCACTGTGGTGGCTTTTATACAAGCACAGAATCCAAACCCAGGCTTATACATGAAGATGGCTCTTAAACAGCTGACCACTGCAGTGACTACTGTGCATGAAAGGGTTAATAGAGCATTCAAACATTTAGCAAATACACTTACAGGTAAGTGTGAAAGGGGGGGAGAGAGAGAGGATGACATGCAGCAAAGGGCCACAAGCTGGATTTGAACCTGGGCCGCTGCTGCAACAGTCTTGTACATGGGGCGCCAGCTCTACCACTAAGCCACCGACACCCCAATAAAGTACAATTTTAAATTAAAATCCTTCCCCTATCACTAACACAAACTGAGCTCTCTTAGGTGGACCCATTCATAATGTGTTCAAGTTTGAAACAGTCTATATATAGCTGTGACACACCTTCATGGAAATCCTGACGGCTCGTTTAAAGGCACAGTTTCTGAATACGCACTGCATTCATTTCTCTTTGGTTTTTCTGTTGTGAGACTTTCACAGTATTTATATAACACCTATAACTGCTTCATATTAAAAGAGACATGGAAATCAGATTTTCTTTATGGGACCTTTAAATTAAAACTCTGAGATAGTGGGTCAAAAACTCAAGATAGAAAGTCAAAAATGTTGACTTTTTAAGCTAGATTTACAAAAGTACATGACCAGTTATTGAAAAAGTATATTAAAGTAAAATTTAACATAATTATTTAATGATTTTGACCTATAATCCCCCTCCGTCACTGACACAAACTGAGCTCTCTCAGGTGGTGGGAATAATACATCATCTTGTTATCCAAAGCACTCTGAAGATGACTCCTTTCAGCCTTTTTGTATGGACACACACACACACACACATGCTGTAATTTGCAGTAACCCCATTGTT